TAAAAAAAGAACAAAGAAAAGAAATAATTTTTCTAGTGATATTTGATCTTAGTTTTGAAAGAAATTATTCTATGAATGATGAAACTTACAGTTTTTCTATTCTTTTGTGCACTGCTTCCCTTATACCCTCCAAATTTCTTAGTATTTTCAGCTTCATGCTAGAGCTTACCTTTCTGATTACTACCTAGTTGCACCTTTGGGACTGGGCTTGTATTTACATGCCATCTAAAACTAATGCTGGTTGACCAGCTGATTGGTGTCTCTTAAGATGGATGTGAGCCATTTTAATTGAATTTTAACTGTCTGTCTCTGTGTCAGTGTACTAATTTGGGTTCTGTCTTTAATCACCAATTTTCATTAAATTTGCAGGAACTGAAAGTCTTTGAGAGCTGTCCTATTTGTTTGAAATTAAAAGCTATTGTGGTGGAAAGACAGATGGTTTGGTCCAGTAAAATTTGTTTTCTGGTGAAAATAGAAGCAAATGAAAATCAAACCAGAAACTCTGGTTTCCAGTTCTTTCTGAGTTATGGGCTAAATTCTCTGCTGAGTTATGAAAAAATACTTTGAATCATTTAAAAGGAGGAAAATGTGTTATTTTATTTTTATAGTTTAATCTCAGCTGGCTACCAAGTACCACACAGCTTCTTGCTCATTTCCCCCACCCCCTTCCTGCCCCTGTGGGATAGGGAAGAGAATTGGAAAGAAGGTACATGTTTGTACATTAGCTTCCTTGAGACTTTTTGCTTTCCATCCATGGCTTAAATAAGCCTACTACTCAAACAGTCTTCTTCTGGATTTATGCAACTATTTAATATATGATATTATCATTATAAATAATAAATTAGATATGTACAAAACATAAAAAATAACTACAAAACATAAAAAAAGTAAGGTCTCCATTCTCCAATCAGCTAAGTGCAGAACAACTGTAAAAATTTTGCTTACAGAGATAAATAAAACAATATTCTGCTCTGTGGGGAAATTATTTGCCAGTGCATAGCTGGTTTATATAGATAGTATTCTTCTTACAGTAATCTCTGCTTCAGTTCCTGGAATAAGAGAAAGAAGAAGATTCCAGGGAGCAAAGCAAACATACATGTGGCAGATTTATCCTGTGTGATTTTTCACTGCAGTAAGTTTAGGTTTGTGACAGACATTAGTAGGTTGTTACCCTCTTCAGCCCACCAGATTTTTTGTCTGCTCATAAATCAGCTGTGGAATGACTGTAGTCTTTAGCTCATGCATAATTTTGGCTGAGTACTCCAGACTGAAAACTGAGTAGCTCAGGAGATATTTTGTGTATCAAATACTGCTGTCTTAGAGATGGTGTTGCTCTTTATTGCAGATGCAGTAGGAGATAAATTTTCATTTGTCACATATTTATTAGAACTCAAAATAGTGAAATTTAATTGTATTGTTAGTTCTTAACTTACCTTGATACTCAGGTACCTTGATACTCCAGCAGTTCCAGTTCTGCTGGAACTAGGTAGCATAGGATCAGACAGCTGCAGTGAGTTTTTGGAAATCCCAATATTTGTTTAGGTATATCTGAGGCCAAGTGATGTGTCATACCAACAACTAGCAGGAGATGGGTTGATGAAAAGTTCTAAGTCCATGTACTCAATTATTAGTGTCTGATGTGGATTTTAAGATAGAGCTGAAAGTGTGGGTTTGAAGAGCTTATATGCAGTGAAAATCAATTGAGAACTATAATATATTGTAATGGCAATTGTATTTCAGCTGCTTGATCTTTCCTTACTCAAGTGATCCCTGAAATTTTCACTTGTTCTAAACTGGTGCTAACATGTGCTAGGCATTACATTAGACTGCAAAGTCTATATGTTCAAAAAGGGGAGGATTGGAATATGAATTGTTGAAGCTATGAAGAAAGGTTTCAAAGAATTGAAACTGTATGTAGTTCCAATCAAGGAAATAGATTTCTGATGGAATTTGAACTAAGAAATTATCTTTTTTGAGGGAAAATATAAAAAAGGAGAAGTCTACCTTTAGCAAAGGAAAATAGGGATAATGTAGCTGGCTGCTTCTCTACCCATCCCCTATGGCTTTTGAACCCTACTCTAGAGGCAGCACTGCTGACTTCTCAGTGCAAAACCTAGACACTTGGGAATACTCAGTCATGGCCTGATTGACTGGGAGAACCATGGTGTGTCTCAGATATAATGTAAAGAACCAGTATTTTTTTTTCATGTTGATTTTCTGGTTTCTGAGACTGCGGTAATAAATTAACTTTTTTGTTCTGTGTAACCTTTCCAATATTGCCTCGAGCAATAAACCCAGAGCATTTATCTAGAGACACTGAACTGAGCTAAGGAGAGTGATTTTCCTCCTCCACAGCCACTCCAAAAAAGCAACATTCATAGGTTTGTAAGCATACTGTCTCCCAGGAGTCTGAAAGCTGTGTGCTTAGTGGAAATAGCTCACTTTGCTAGGAACTGCTAATTTCCTGCATGCAGATTATCTGAGACCTTGCCAAGTGTTTCCAGGGCAGTGACATCTCCAAAGAAAACTGATGTTACATTTAAAAAGTACCTTTATAAGTAGAAAAATTCATTGTAGTCTCTGGATAAGCTTAATTCATCTTCATGTATCTTCAAAAAAATTTTTTTAACTTAAATTTGAAGGATTTAGTATTTTTCTTTGGCTACATGAGATGTTGTGAGATGCATGAAAATTTCTGAAACAGTTCCAGAAGTTATGCAAATGCTCAGAAGTCTGTAAGTTCTGTTCTGAATTGGGCAAACTTGATTTGACCTACAGAACATCACTCATGTCAAGAAAGACATGATAGAATTATTTTATTATTGTTGTGTGGCATTGTAATACTGCTATTGAAAAGCGACCAGCTGCATTACTAACGGTATTTTATTGCATCTTGAAATAGAACAGAGTGACATATGCTTTTACTTCTGATTATAGAAATGATACTTTAAGGCAAGAGACAGTGAAAGGTTTTAGATGCCCTTGCTGGAATAAAGAATTCAGAATTTACTTCATGATAAGCTCATAGATAGAAACAGTATTCATTCTTTTTTTTTTTTTTTCCTTCCCATCCAGGTCATTCTCAGATAATTGAAATCATGTTAGGGCAGATAAGGATGGCTGTGACTTTAACATTCAAAAACATTTGAATTGGTACACAATGAATTTCCTCATATGGACATTTCTTCCCCAGGACAGAAGTGGAATAGGTCAGATTTTTAGTTTTTGTAAACTGAGTGGGATAACTTAGTTATCATATGAAATTTCGTAGTCTTTTTTCTTGATTTCTCCAGCAACTGAAGCATTTTTGTCTTAGTTATCAAGTAGAAATTGAAGTTGTGATGCTAGAAATGAAAGTGGCATTTCATCCTCGGTTTCATATTTTCCATTATTCTCAGAAGAACAGAAATATTTAACTAAGTAAAACTGGATATAGTCCTTCCTTTTTAACATTCATGCCAGAGGCAAAAGACAGCAAACATTTGATTTCACTTCTGAAACTATATGCTTTTGAGATTTATGGAATTTGTATTTGCAACTATTTTAAACTTAAGCTCTCAGTGCCCTCCTGAGAAAATACTATTCATTAAACTACATATTTTTTGAAATTTATCTGTATTTTCATTGTCTTGGCAGTGATGCTATATTACCTTTAGTTTGATGATTTACCAACCTGCAGAACTACTAAGGAGATTTAGGTGCTTTTTAAAAAAAATGTTTCTGCCTAAATTTAGCAGTTCCAAAGCATTTTGAGCTGTTCTTTTTCTAATTGCATGGTACTGTGAAATTTCTGCAACTACAGTGTAATGTTTCAGGGGTAATGTTCAGTGTGGAATATGATGTAGAATTAAAAATGAGGCAGACAGACAGTTGAATCTGTCCTGCTTGAACATGAAATGTGATCTGAGTACCATTTAAATTGTATGATGACATGCAAAGTCTAAGATCTGTGGAATATTATCTGAGTTCCTCTTCTTGTTAAGAACATCCTATAAAATATTCTCTCCCTTAACTAACATTGGTTCAGCTCTCATTGCACTACTCTAGCAGATATTGATTATATGGGCTGTTGAATCATTTTTAAAAGATGTTGCTGTGTAATCCTGCTGGATTCAATAATTAGATTTATTGATGGTAACGGCAGCCCTTGATTTATTTAAATGATACCTCTGTATAGCATTTGTTGGTGGATAAGAAAAAGATATACATATATATAGGTAGAGAGAGGTGGAAATGTTTTATCTTAATAAGGTATCAATTATATATCATGGTTGTCTTTGTGTGTATATCAAACCAGGCTTTTCAATGTATTATGCAAATTAAAAAAAAATAAAGAATTGCCGTGAGTCTTGGGAGACCAGACATATCACCATTACCTCTCTAAGTACAAGTCAGAGGTGAGGTAAATAATTCAAGCTTCTTATGCTCATTGTTAGAGGAAACAAAAAGAACTGTTTATTGGGAAGATAAGACTGCATAAAAGAAAGCCAATTTAATAGTCCTGGCAGTTTTGTCTATATATAATGATTAATTAAGGGGGTAGCATTGATCGGATATCTGGATATCTTAGGCAAAGTAATAATATCACAGTTTGATTGAAAAAAATTAAATATCTACTAATTGTGACTGTCATAAATTATATAATTCTTTCTGTAATATGTTTGAATAAAAAAAAGGAAGGGAAAATACATTCTCTGATTATAAAACATCAATTGACTTAAGATCACGTGATCTCTAGAGTGTCAGGGAAGAAATGCTGGTTTTCAGAAAGTGAAAGAAATAAATATTTTAAATTGGTGTCTCTAATGCAGCCTTTGCTATTTATTGGTCAGCCAGTTAGTGCCCACTTGAATTTCCACTGAGAACTTGTAGCAGCACAGTAAACCGAAATAAAATCTCAAACGAGATATGTTGTGGCTCTGTACTCACTTTGTAGATGCCAAGTTCAGTAGTCAGAGGGTTTATTTCTGACAATGAGTCTCTTTCCTGTTCTCTGGCAGCCACGAGCTGTTGCTGGTTTTCGAGGAACAGTACGATACGCATCAATCAACGCGCATAGAAACAGAGTGAGTATCACAATCTGGACCTAAACAGTCTCAAGCAGCTAGAAGCAGTCAGTAATACAGCTACTATTAATTTCCTTTTTTGTATTCTTATCTGTGCTTTTATTATGTAGAAATTAACAGCTATACATTTTGTGAAAGGATAATGTAATTTACAGTAGTTGAGGATAAAAAAGTTCTTGTATGAATAATAGTGATTCTAATACTTATCTTTGGTGTTCAATTGTATTGCAAGTTATTAAGTTAAAAAAGTGAAGCTACTGAGTTTTATGAGGTACATAATGCCCAGTATATTGTATTAACATCATACTCTAAAGAAATCTGAATAAACAGAGATTTGCCCTGTTATTTTAACACACTTCAACTTTTATTGTATTTCTCTCTGTCTTCTGTGGAAATTTACTTGTATGTTTCTCCTTAAAATAGCCACTGGATTTAATGAACTTGTTTTGCAGCATAGGTTATATTAAATTTTATATAATAATTGAAGTTTCGAGCAGTAAAGAACTTATCTTCCCATTTGTTTAGGTATTTGTAATATGCTTTAAAATAATACTTCCTTTTACAGGAAATGGGTCGGCATGATGACCTCTGGTCTCTCTTCTACATGTTGGTGGAATTTGTGGTTGGGCAGCTACCTTGGAGAAAAATAAAAGATAAGGTAAAGCTGAAGGTGAAACCAGAGCAAAAGGAAGGTTTACTTCTGGATTCCAGGGAAATGCTGTGATAAAGATTCCTCTTAGAATCATTAAATAATTTTAACATTACATTTTCCGGTTTTTTCTAGTTTTAGTTCTTGTGGCTAATGTCATGGTATAAAAAGCAATCAAATTTTACTAAGTGTTCTAGGAAGAAAGGAGGTTATACTTCTAGATTGAAATTATTGTGAAGGGCAGAAGTAAGTGTATATTTGCCACTTACTTCATTATTCCTGTTACCACTTGAGTACTTTATTTCAGCTATTGCACGCTTAAAATGTCTAACCTGTTTTGATTATTTGTTAAATAGGTATTTCTTATTTGATCGTGAACGAAAGTGGATTGGGCAATATGCGGTAGTGCTTTAATCATATGTCATAGGTGAAGTATGCAAAGAAACAATATCTAATTATTGCTTCTTGCAGCTTCTTTTGAAATCATATTGAAACCAGGTTACTCTCTGATGTGGTTTGTGTATTGGTAGATAACAGTGTGGTGTATAGGTAGCATCTTCTTTTTGGTTTGGATTTGTGCATCTTACATGACTGAATATACACTAAAAAGTGACTGAGCTTGACATGATACAAGAACACATTTAAACCTTTAAAACATACTGTTAGAAAGGGTTGGAGTGTTTAGTGACAGTTCTTCGTATCAGACAGCATTCAAACACAGACAACAAAAACACAGTAGAAAACTAAATGGCTTTTCATATTAAATTTGGAGTTTGTACATTATTTTGCAAGTGTACTGAGGCCTATAGAATCTCCTGTCTTGGTATCAGCTGTAGAATGGCCTTTCTGACTACCATTTAGTGTAATGTAGTGACCTGTCTCTGGCTAGTGGTGTGTTTAATGGCTGTAACAGAGAATGTGAGTATGTTGTAACAGAGAAGGAAGATGTGCCAATGTTTGTTGTGTTACTCACTCCTAGGAGCAAGTGGGCTCCATTAAAGAAAGGTATGAACACAGACTTATGTTGAAACATCTTCCTCAAGAATTCAACGTTTTTCTGGATCACATTTCTAATTTGGATTACTTCACAAAGCCTGATTACCAGGTAAACACTTGTACTAATTTGTCTTTCTGTTTTATAAAGAAGAGAATTTTATGCTGTTTCATCTTCAATTTACTTTGATTTCATTGTGTAGTCTTGATAGTTATTATGGTTTGTGCACCACAAAGTTAATTTAATGACCATTTAGTGCCACAGAAACTCTGTGGTTCAAACATGTTATTTTTTTCCATTTGGGAAGGTTAAGACTTCCCTTAAAGTTTCTAAGAACAATTGACACCTGTCTTTCAGTCAGTGTTCTGTTAGGGTTGGGAGCTATGCTACTATTACGGCCTATAGCATGTGGTCCGTAAGTTAATTGATCAGATTGTTCTTTCAGGGATTGTCATTCTGGCAGTTTTCCAAAGTCTGGAACTCAACACCTACAGCTAGAGCACAACACACAGTCATGGTATGAGTGGAAAAAAACCTGAAGTATTGTGTATAGAGATCACAGAAGACCAGTCATATTTCTTTGTTTAAGAGAGTGTTGCCTGCTGAAATGGGCAGCCTCTGCTCAGTGGTAAGGTGGTATGTGCTGAGAGCATATGCTGTAGAATGTGTCTTAACTCACTCAGTGTTGACCTATGATTAAAGAATAAATAAATGTAGAACTTCTTCCCAGTTTGTGGAAAGCAGCAGAGGAGTGCTCAGGAGAAGCAGGGAGGGAAAGACTTGACATTTTTTTCAGCCTCACACACTGTGAGAAGTTGTACTGATCAAACTGCACACCATGGCAAGCTATCCCTGTGTGCCTTCCTTCTGGCTCCCAGAAACATGCATTCCTGCTTCCCACTTGCAGGACCTATCTGCCTCTGTGCCTGTGTTCAACTCCCTAAATTAGTGAAATCAGAAGGAATGAGTTTCTGATGGTGTTCAAGTGTAATTGGTTCAACTGAATAAATAAATCTGACTAATTCTGGAATTGTAACTTTAATGAGAGCAACTTGTCTACTTTGCTTGGTAGAACAAAGAAGATATATAAGAATTGGAATAAGAGCTGAAAATCTCAAGGAATAACTGATTTCCTGTTGTAAGTGGATTTCTCTAAATCTACTGGTATATGATTCTGCACATTTGCAAAACAAATAAATAATTTTTTGTTAAAAAAAACCCTTATTACTAATACAAAAAATATTCAGTATTGCTGAAAAATAAATACTTTGATTTTTTTTCCTCTTCTCCATTACAAATTTCCATGAAATTTATCCTATAGTTTGCAATTAAATGAGGAAAAATTTTCAATGTTTTGTGCGCCTAGTTATAAAGATGTATCAGATTTTTTTTCCTATGGTAAAAAGTACTATTGCAGAAATTTTGATGTTGCATAGAAAAACTTGATTATAGACTGGTAAATACATTTTACATTGCAGAATCTGAATGATAAAGCATATAGACAGTCATATTTTTGCAAATCCTTTTCTGTGGTCTGTTTGTATCTAATTGCGCATGCACTCGGCAATTGACACGATACCAGGAGAGAGTTTTTCCATGATAGAGAAAGCCCAATAATTTACAATCCTGTGGCTATTCATGGAACATTTGCAGTTGTGTAACTGCAGCCTGAGCCTTACAACACAGTCTTGCTCATGTGCTTTAGAGCAGAACAGGGTGGTTTTATTTAGAGCAGTGAGAATGCTCTTTTAAATTCTGGTCTCTCTTAACTTGTGTTTGCAGTGGTGTTATTCCTACCTACTATACTCCTTGTATTTCTGGGTGGGCACTGAACAAGAATGTATGTGTATCCTTGCTTCAAAGGGTTTGTAGTCTAAAATGTTCATCACCAAGGTCGAGAAGCCATGTTTGATTTGGCAATATCAGATGTTTATTTTTTTCAAGTATTTATGGATACAGTGCCTCAGCCTCCTGATATCAATAAGCATTTGAGTTTGCATTTGGCTTATAGCAGAAATTGTTGAAAAGATTTAAAAGAGAATGGCTTTAAAAATTACTTCAGAGACACTACTTAATGTTTAGAGGAGGAGAAGAATTAAATACAGTACATAAGGGACAGAGTGAACTATGGCTTTGTGCTCTTCAGTAGGATTACAAAAATGACTGGGACAGGTGGCACACAGAAGGTTCTTGAGAGTAAAAATTACATGGGTGAGACCACTCTATACAAGAAAAATGATCCAAACTTTCCACCTATTTTAAGTTGCCAAAGGGTATGGCAAAGGAGAGTGTGGAAGAATTTTCAGCATCCTGGATTGGAAGAAACCCCAGATTTTTAGCTTCTAGGGGAAAAAAACCTTAGAAATGCTACAGAGTAAGAGAATGATATTGGACACAGCCTTCCTGTCAGCTATTAGAATGAGACAAAGTTTGTTTCACAGAGAGAGGAAAGTGATGCCATTTTTTTCTCCGTCATGGACACAAATTTACTAAAGGCTTTTTCATAGCATAAAATGGGAGTTGAACACGTAGACATTTATATAGTGTAAATGTCAGCATTATATGAAGTAAATGATTATGGTTCTTAATACACAAAGGTATTATGAATTAGCAGATCAGTATCCTTTTCTACATCTCATTCATTTCCTAGGTTTCATGATGTTACCAAATGTAGTATTTTCTCCTCCTCTGCTAGAGAGCCATTGTATGGTATTCTGCAGCAATGTAGTTATGCTTCTCTGTGTGTATTTCTGTCTTTCTATTAAAGTCTATGGTGTATCTTTGCCTCATGCCACTTAAAAACACAGATGTGCGTGGATTTTTTTTCTTCTGTTTCAATAAAATGTAATTTTGTATATTTTGGCCTCAAAATCTTGAGAAAATGAGAAGTGTTTAATATAAAAAACTCTTTAATGTTGTTTTCAGTATTATAGTCAGGATAAGTAAATAAATATCCTGATAATAAATATCAGGATATTTCTTAATTACTTGTTCTCTTTGGCAAAAATCAAGCTTATTGACTTTTTTCTTTATTTTCAGCTTCTCATGTCTGTGTTTGACAACAGCATGAAAACGTTTGGGGTTATTGAAAGCGACCCTTTTGACTGGGAGAAGAGTGGAACTGATGGCTCTCTGACAACAACAACAACTTCAACCACCCCTCAGCTGCACACTCGGCTTACGCCGGCTGCAATTGGGTATGCACTGTGTGGTCTCTTCAGTGGCAGCCACAGAGGGGCTTCCTACCAAAGGGAAATTGCCTCCATAATTCAGGTTTTTGCTGCAGGAGTTTGAAAGCATAGAGGAAGGGAGGTTTGGGAGCATTTGAAATATTTCCCTTTTTAGGGTTCCAGTTTATACTGTCCTAAAAGACCAGCACTGCAGTCCTAAAATTATAGCAATAAAAATAGTACTCCAGGAAATTGCATGTAAATTTCCTCATCCATCCTTTGCTAAATTGTATTTTGTGAAATGAAATAATGTGTCCTGAGTTTAAGTGCCTGGAAATTTAACTGCCTGGAAATAAACCTGTTGTTTTCTGTAATCTTGAAATAAAATTCTAGCTGCAGTTTCCTTTATAAGTTTGAAAAATGACTGGATCTTTATAAGAAATTTGGAAGTAGATTTTGGTTGTGTTTGAAATAATATTTAATATGCTGTATGAGACATTCTGTAATGAAGTAATTTGGACAAGATGTGATGTTCAATAACACCCATACTCATCTCAGGGGACTGAAGAATATAGGAGGTGTTTATGGATGAACGTAAGAAGTGTTTATAGGTGCCATTTTTTTGAATAGAAGAATACATAGAGAAGAATCAGGAAAGAAGTTGAGCCTGAACATGATCTGTAGCAAATTTTCTCAGAAGTGGCTTCACAAACATTCGAATAAACAACTTTTATGTGATAGTATTTTTTTATTTGCATTTTGTTATGTACCTACATTAAATAAATTGTGAAAGCCAGGAAGTTGGAGGTGTTATATTAAATAATTTCCAAGTTTTATTTTTCTGCAGAAATGCGATTTTCTTTGTAAGTTTTTGCTTGTTTCTTTCTTTTAAAATAGAAAATAATTTCTGTAAACACATGAGGGTATAAAAATTTTTAATTTTCTGATTTTTTTTTAAACTGCTTTTGTAGAATTGCCAATGCCACTCCTATCCCAGGAGATTTGCTGCGGGAAAATACAGATGAAGTATTCCCTGATGAACAGCTCAGTGATGGAGAGAATGTTATTCCTGTTGGTGTATCACCAGAGAAAATACCTGGATCCCCTGGACATCAGCGTCCTCAGGAAAAAGATGTTTGGGAAGAAATGGATGCAAACAGAAACAAAATAAAACTGGGGATCTGTAAGGTACTTTCAAATCTGCATTGTGAAAACCATCTTTGCACAGCTTCATGTTCTTGTAGTGCCCATAAGATGTAATTAATAAGGCAGTTGTACTTATACTGATTAACCAGATAGACCTAAGAAAATTATTTATGTTGGAGATAACACATTTTATATACTGAAAAAAGCAGGCAGATTTTTGAGACTTGTGTCACTTCATCAGGTCTTTATGATTAATAGCTTGCTGATAATTTGAGACTCTTTGTAGTTTACTCCTATTTGTTTTCTTCAGACATTATCTTCATTCCTGCTCACTGAGTGAAATCAAAGCAATTTTCCTGCATCTTGCATGTGTAGAAGCTAGATTCTAAATGTGCAAAAGAAGATTTTAATGTTCTCCAGTCAACAAATCCTCAGTGTGAATGGCAGTATCCATTTAATTCACTTGGTGGTTTTGTCTCCATAAGATGTGATACCTTTGTACTGATTCAGAGGTTCATTGGCTGGTCTTTAGAAGAGAATACTGCTTTATTTTCAAAAGTGATTGCTGAGAATTCGTCCCTTTCTTCCTTACTCACAATCACTGTGTTTCATACTTGGACATATGTTGCCTCTTTCTTGATATAACAGTATTTTTAACATGAAAACAGATCTGGTACTAAAATGTTCTTTATCTAGGTGGGCTGTCTAGTTTTGAAGCTGTTACTCATTATTTGCTAGGAAAACAAATGTATTGTGGGAAAGACCAAGGCATGGTGCCTGCTTTCAAATGTGCTTGCTTGTTTGTTTGTTTTTACCAAAGAGAGAGAAAGGAGATTGTTCTAGTTCAAACAAAGGTACTTTCTGTTACACCAGTAGAAACCAAGGATGATCATGATTTCCCAGCTCTAAATCATATTCAGTTATTATTCTAAATCATGTTCAGTCATTATTAAGGTAGAATGCAGCTGGGTTAAAACATAGGTTAAAGTCACAGAAATATTTAGTAGATTTAGTGTGTAACAGTGTTATATGCTCCAGAGAATCAAAAAGACAGCCTGAAAGCTAGCTTCTCTTTAATAAGAGCACTTGACTGTGAAGCAGACCAAAGATGCTACAAATGCTAGGTTTCAGACTTTTACTGAAGAAAATTTCAGAGATGGGTTTGAAGTATCAGAGTAAATGTAACTGTATTACTGTGTCTTTGATACTCCTATTCTCAGACTTACCCAGAACCAATATATTGCCAGTATTTTGTCAGCTATAGATGTGTGCTGAAGAGTATATCTAAACTCATAACTTAACTATGGCATGAACTTAGGGACCATTCCAAACACAAATTGGCTTTTCACAGTCTAAAACCTTGGCGGGTATTTCCCATGTAGTACCTTGTCTTCCTCTTGTTTTGCCTGTCCTAGTGAGTTACATTTTTACTTTCCATTTTGCACAGGCTGCCACAGAGGAAGAAAACAGCCATGGACCAGGGAATGGAATGCTAAATGCCCCAAGTCTTGGTTCTCCAATTCGAGTTCGCTCAGAGACCACCCAGTTAGACAGAGATGTTCCACTGGTGCGAAAGTTGCGCTCCATTCACAGCTTTGAACTGGAGAAGCGTATGACCTTGGAGTCTAAGCCCGACACTGATAAGTTTCTTGAGACCTGGTAAAGAAATTATGGTATCATTTTGCTAGGATCTTTTAAGGATATGTGGTTAGGATATCTATGTGGTTAGGTTATCTATGCTGTGTGAAGAACAGCAATGGACCTGTTGAGTATGCTTATGCAAGTTACTGCAAAATATTTTTCATAATATTGCTCAATTAATGGATTCCACTACTTGTTAACTGCTTTAGAAAATTCTTAGTGCTTGAATACAGTTGAAGTTGGACTCCCTCACCTGGGAATTTTTTATTTCAAGACTTAGTGGTTGTAACCCTAGTATTTATTAAGTTTTTCTTCGATGGCATACTCTTGACAATCAGTACAAGTCATTCTGAATAAGAAAGTTGATATGAGGTGCCCAATAGAGGTAGCATGAAATTAGGCTATATGATATGAGAAGGGAAGTTTACAGGAAGTAGAGTGAAGAAGTTAGAAATCTACCTGCATGCAGCAGGCTTAGTTATGTCCAAATGTTTTACACCAACATAAAATTATCTTGGTGGAAGACAGATAACTTAAAATATAATTTGAAGGTAGAGAAGAGACAGATGTATGAAAATGCATTCAGTTTGCCTGTGTCTAGAAAGAATAAGGGGAGAGGGACACAGTGAAATCTGACTGAAAGGCAGAGGCTGAGTGGGGACAGTAGAAGAGAGCTGGGGCGATGACAGTGGCAAAATCTTTCTGAATGCTTCATAGGGGAGCTAGGAATTTGAATTTGTTTGATGAAACGAATTATGCAAAGCATAAGTAAGGAATCAATCAAAGCAATAAGTAAGGAATCAATCAAAGCAATAAATAACTTTCTTCTTGAAAGCATATAACAACTTCTGCAGGAGACATCCATTTCTTCTCTTCCTCTTTGAGTCTCTGCTTTGTAACAAATTAAGTACACTGGACATTTGTGGTTACCTCATGTCTGAGTTTTTTTCTCTCACAATTTTCCTTTCTGGTAATTATATTTACAATACAATGTCATGCATTACAACTAAAATTAAAAATGTGTACATTTCTAAGACCATCCATATTTACTTGACATCATACTTATTTGTCTCATATTGGGAATCTTTGAACCATTGTAGGCTGTTCTAGAATATGACAACAAATTTTTATATAAATCTAATTTTCTTCTTCTGAAAACACTGAAATGTAATATAAATGATTTCATTAATTCTTAACTAATTCACATATTAACTTTTTTTCTCTAAGTTTGGAGAAGAAGCAGAAAGACTTGAAAGTGGCAGAGACTGCTGTTGCTGCTGTTCCTCCTCTTTCTCAGAAAACATCTCTTCCTGCCCGCACGGACCATGTTTGGCACTATGATGAAGAGTATCTTCCAGATGCTTCAAAGCCTGTGTCAGCTAATTCTCCTGACCATGCTGATGGTGTTATGAGCAATGGATTTGTAGCTGTTAACCTAAGCTCCTGCAGGCAGGAGGTTGATTCTAAGGAATGGGTGATAATAGATAAGGAACGGGACTTGCAGGACTTCAGGACAAATGAGGCTTTAGGGCACAAAATGACTGGAAGTCCCTCAGATGAAGAGCCAGAGGTACTACAAGTTCTAGAGGAGTCCCTTCCAGAAGAGCAGTCCAAAGCAGGTGGTTTGGCAGGAAACAATGTCCATGCCAAGAACCAAACTTCAGGTGTGGAGTTTGTTCTCGACGTGGAATGTCACCCTGCTGCATCTGAACAGCTTACAGATAAATTGGAACTTCTGTCTGGAGCTGCAGGACAGCTTCTTGCAGCCACCCCTACAAGTCCTATGGAAGCTCAAGCAGAAGGAGCACTCACTCCGGTAAGAAAACCTCTTCTTCATTCAGAATTGTAAGGGGAAATGGTAAAGGTGGTGTAGCAGAAATTTCTAGTTTCAGCAGGTATGGGACTTGATTCTTGAAGACTGATCTTCCATATTCTGTTACACAGCTGTTTACAGTCACCCATGGAAGTGCTAATTGTTCTGCAGGCGTGATCCACAAAACTGGCCACATTTTACAAAGAGTTATCTATCTATATATCTGTCTGTCTAAAGAAGCTCCTTGTGCAGTGATTCCTAATCAGTGAGGGACACACATGCAAACACATATTTATTATGTTTGCAGTACATAAACATAAAATTGCAATTGAATATGTAAAATACTGTGCTACCATGTTTCATGCGCTCCAGGAAAAATCTAAGTGGCTGAAATTAAAGAAACAGTTACTTGCTCTCATGTCTTGCTATTATTCCTGCAGTGTTTGCTTCTGGAATTCACTTTGTTTCTTCCGGTTACTTCAGAAATTTCTAATGGTCCCTATACAAACAACTTGTTGCCTTTTATAAAGTGTTGCTGCTTTTCACTTCTTAAATACTTTTGCAAATCCTACTTTACTCTTATACTTTTTGCCAAAACAGATTGCTTTGCTTTCATTGCATATCCTTGTTTTTCTTTTTCCATCTTTTCTGAAGAATTCTCTGTTGCACAGTTTTTGAACATTTATTTTTTTCTCCTGTCACTGTTTCTAAACAGAGACTTCTTTGCCTTTACTTAAGGAGTAAGTGAGGTTAATGGTTAAGTGATTGGAAATCACCTCATGGTTTTATTTCTCCCCTTTTTAAAGAAGATACTGTGGCATCTATGATCTAAACGTCAGTTCTATGAAGTTCCCTTGAGCCAAGAAACCTGGCTATATTTTTCTTCTTGTATCACCACTTTTTGTGAAAGTTACTGCCAGCTCATTAGAAAAATTTGTCACCGACTAGTCATTTATTATCAGGTGTGGAATATCCTTTATAGTGAAAATGAGCTACCCAATGTAATTAACTATAGCAGCACAGTAAAATTTCAACTGTGCCTAGATTCTCATGGAAAAGGCAAGATGTATGGACAGCATACTTTAAATTATGTCATTTATAGAAGATTTGTTTTGTATAATAGAAAATATAGAACTGTGTTAAACAACAGATTTTTGAGATTTAGTTTGAAATATTAGATGCATGAAAGAAATTTTGATGGTTAGAAACCTTTAAAGGTGAAAAATTATTTTAAATTTTTAAGTTGTTTGGTTTTTGTATTTTAAGGTCAGTTTTAGTAAAACAAACAAGAAAAAGCGGCACTTGGTCCTGTAAAAAATACTAATTATCAAGTGTCTTTATTTCAAGAGCCCTTAAAAACAGCTTGTAATTTTCTAATAAAATGTACTATACAATTGTACACTTTATGCAAATGTGGCTCTTTTGGGGGAAATAGCTGTTTTACTTTAAACTAAAAGTAGAGGTGGTACAAATATTACGTACTACAGTGCAAAAAATGGACAATATCTTTGTCTGTGAAGAAAGAAGCTTCAGAACATGGGAGCAGAAATGGTTGCAAACAAAGTTAATTACTATAAAATGCATTGGAAGAAATACTGGTTGAAGTAGAAACTCGAGTGAAATTATATTTTACTCTCGCTTTGCAGGGAGATAAGTAGCATTTGTCATTACCTCAAAAAAGGGGAAAATTAATATAATTTATGTTATGCTGGAAGATCAAGTAGTGTTGTGAGTGCAAGATGAATGGCAGGAAGGAATTTGGTGTTTCAAAGGTGAATGATGTACAATAGAAAATATAAATTGACCTGAGAATAAGAAAATGGAAATTACTTAGCCAGTTTAGTAGCTGGGAACAGAGTGTGCCTATACAATGTGTCTCCTCCAACTGTGATGGCAATTTGGGGTAGTCTTCCATCTACCTCATTAGCCCTTGAAAGCCACACAAAGCCTAAGAGGCTATTTCAGGGTGAGTTTTTCTTTTTGGCCTTCATTGATGCATTCCACTTCATAAAGGATACTTAAATATTCCCTATGAAGGGCACTAGAACCTAGTTCTTATAGGTGAGTGTTCTTGTCACTTCACTGGGGGCAAGTGTGTGTGTATGCCTCTTCCCGCCATTCTCTCTGTTCAAAGGTCCTGGTGACCTCTGAGAGCTGTTTGGTAGAGTCCTTTTCTTTCTTCCTCCGAGTACTTGCCCTGAAACTACACATTGTTTTTTCAATGTAATCCTTGATTGTGCACAAGATGTTCTTGTTCTTTAGTATTTTTTCTAGGGAGCACCTTCCTGGCAATAAAAATAATAGGCAAAGGTGATACTTTACTTTTCTGCTGATTTAATTATATTCTGCCAGGTTACTAAGACCAGGCTTGGATCCAAGAATGTTAATTTTAGAACTATAAATTAAATTTTTGTTACTAAAATAGATGTTGAAATTGTAGTAATTTAGAAACTTAGAATTACTGAACTAGTTCACTCATTTCAGACAGCTTGAAACTCTAGGACATGCCAGCATTCGTGATCATCATGCTTATGAATATACCTCTCATATGGGTATATATATTCTACTGACCTGCTTCACTGTGACTTAGAACAAAATATGGTTTTGCTTTTTGGGCTTATTTTGATAGGTTTGTTAAATATGCAAGCTATTACTTCAGTGGTGAATGCATAAAATAGTTTTCCTATCATAAGTCAAGTATTTTTTTGAATATTTCCTTTTTGCTTTGGTGATTCTTCTTTGTTCTTCATCTCTTTCAGAGCTTTATTGTTCACTATTTTATTAACTACTAGCATGGATGTTTCTGTATGAGAAACTAATATTTCATATACTCACCCATAATTTTATTTTCTTTTGAAGGAAAGAAATTTCTGGTCTACAGTCTTTCCATTTGCAGATAAATATTCTTCTTGAAATTGTTTGTGTATGTGGACTTCCTGTAATTGTTGATAATATCACTTCTCACCTGTTATACACAGCATCAGCATTCTATTAAAAATGTAGAGTTGCACCAGTTAAGAAAGGAAACTTGAACTCGAAAAATAAGAGAGAAAAATGTGTTAGTTATTGGCTTGGGGATGAGAAAGTCTCAGGCATACAAAATTACATCAAATTATGCTGTCTATTATGAAAAAAAAGGCCTGCAGGTAAGAGAAGCATTTTTCATGTTATCAGTCTTGGTTTTCCAGTTGCAATACAAATTCTGTGTGCTACCAGCAAAGACCAGTTTAATCTGGCTTAGTTGTGGGCACATGATCATATATATGTTGAATACTCAGAGTATGCTAAGGGTATATGTGCTGATTTTATGCTTTAATAATAGCTTTATGTTGGCTTTGGCTGCAGGACAGACAGTGTGGGATTTGCTGTAATATCTACTAGTATGAAGGTAATTTGTCAAAAGAATTTGAGCTGATCTACACTAATAGTGAATTTATACTGGAGCAGCACTTTGCATCATACAGCTCTAGTTTTCTTTTCCTACACATGGTACTAACAGGCTAGAGCTGGACTTTGTGTGTTATGGACCCACAGCCTCATTAATTTTCTGTGTTTGTATTGAATTGCAAAGAACTCCATACAGTGCTTTCACAAATCCTTGCAACATATATTTATCAAGCAGATATTTCAGTAAATAAAAAATAATGGATTTGAAGTAATTAGGCATGTAACAGCTCTTTCCATCTTCATTTTCAGTTTAAATTAAACAACAGTTTGCTTTGATCTCACTTGGCTGACAACACAAATTTGTGTAGATGTATATGTGTGTGTGTTATAGAAGAGGGGCTACTGTGTGAATCTATGTATTTTTGTTATTTAGAAATATTGCTGAAATGGAAATTTTGTATGTTAAGGTTATGTTTATCAAAAGCTTGCTCTTAAATATCTATTTATTTCTGAGTAATTAAATTTTCATGTACCTTGTCTTCTCATTTGCTGCTTTTATGAGGCACTGGAAATACTTTTTTTTTCCAGTTGCAAGTCAGTGATGCATTGTGGGAGCTGAAGCTTTAGTATTGACACAATTAAAAGATATCTTTTCCTTAGAAATGGAAATGCTTGCTACATGGTCTTGCTTTCCAAAGGATATAGGTTAGAATTGCAATGGTATAAAACAAAATGTCACCTTCATGAAGCATGAAGCTTGCAGAAAATTTCCTTATCTCTACTCTTCATGGTTTTCTCTAACTGTAATTGGAAAAAAGAATTGCAAACTATGTATAGCAATCTCATTTACAGGTATTTAAGTGTGTCGCCATCAGATGTTTATTCAGTACTGATAAAGGTCTTGCAAAAAACCAGTGGATTTTAGCTTTTTATATCAAAGCTATAGGTTTATTAGAATCATCAATAAGCAATTTTAAAATGTACTTTGTCTAAAATTAGCAGTTTGGAAGAGTTTACAGTTCCTATTCTTTTTTCTTACCTCTTATCTAAATGCTTTAATTAATGTAGTTCAAGATGAAGCAATTGTTCCTTGATTCTCCAGGCCAGTGTAGCCTTCTAGTTTGGTCTCATATTTGGGAAATTTCATCAGAATTGTTTAGTATTAACCTCACTGATTAATCCTGTCAGGGGCAGTTCTTCATGTATGTTGCTGTTGGCGCAGCAGTAAAGCCTTCAAAGGGTGTATATGCTATCACTGTAGTAATCTCAGAAACACAGATACGATGTTGTGCGGATGTGCCAAGTGTTTGAAAGGATCAGTCAATGTTCAACGAGCCAGTTATCAACTGATGTACACAATGTCCTTGAAACAGCCTCTGATAGTTTATTACATTTAAAGCCCTACAAGCCCTAGATTGTTACTGACCAGTTATTATGGTTGCAGAGGTTGGACTTAAAGAATCTGATTTTATTTTCCAACCTAAATGACTCTATGATTCTAAGACTGAGTGAATGAAGAGTCCAGCTAGAGAAATTATAATTACTCTTGATTTTGATACTGGATTTTTGAAAATGATGGAAAATGTGAAGATTAGACTTAAGACACCTCTTAAATTATGACCTTTCAGCCTCTTAGGGAGTTGTGAATATGGTTTTTGAGGGAATGCATACAGGCGAAACATAAACAAGAATTATTAAAATATATTCAACCTTATTTTCTTCCCCGCCATGTTGTTCTCACAGCTCAACTCATGTCATATGCTGCATTTCTCCACTCCAAGAATTTCAAGTCCCATCCTCCGCACCATGAGCCCTATAGCCTATCTGTCCATCCACTCGGACCCTCTGAGGGAGGCTGCTTTACCCAGGAGTCAGTCAGCTGAGAGCCACTCCTCTTCCTCCCGCTCAACTGGCCGTAGGCAGCTTCCTGTCATTCCCAGTGGCAGCAAGCTCCCCCCTGTCATTCGCATCTCAAAAGCACAACCTGAGCAGGTGAATAAGCCTTGTCTTCATAGAAATGACTGCGTTGTAGCAGTCATCTGTAATGTTTCACGTTTTCAGTTGCTCTGCACAGTCTGGTGGTAGGCATATGCTAGTCATACTGCTATACACAGCATCCTAAAAATGTTTTGAAAAATCAAGTTGGGGAGTAAGAATGGATCTTTTCCAGGAATAGAGTTGGGAATACTCTGTGAGGAAGATAATACTGCCCCTCTTAGAAGAGGGGAATGTTTAAGGAGCTGTTATTCAGGTTAAGATCTGGAGCACAAAGCATCTTTGGATGTTCTGAAAGACAGATTCACTTCCTCAGAGATTTTCTCTTGAAAAAAGATAGGATTATAAAATATAGAATTTTTTTTTTTTGCTTAATTTAAAGCTAAGAATAATGGATTCCTATAATCACAATACTAGCTGAATTTCAAACTGGGAACACATTAAAATTTTGACTACCCTAAATGATTTTAATGTGACAAAAAGAGATCTAGTAATAGTCAGAACATTTATTTGGAAATTAGCAAATAATGAAATTTTCCCCTGCTTACAGTATATAGAATAAAGATGGCAATTATCAGGGGTCACAGATAATTAAAATGCCACTAAAGAAAGGGGACTTTTTGTAGTTTTGTATTTCCAGTTTCATTTCAATATGAAAGATGAAGGCTTGCAGTCATTATTGAAGTTAAGTGTAATTTTTGTATTACAAAAATATTGAGATCTGCTAAGTAGTGTGAGATTGCATTGTTGGGTAAAGCAGTATGACATAGCATTAATGCATAAGACTAACATATCATCATCATTTTACCATTAATGTTTCATTTGGATTATACTTTGTGTTGCCTTTCATTTCCAATGTATTTTTCAGTATAAAAAGTTCTATATTACAGTTTTTCTTTTCTCAAGGAAGAATGAACAGGAGTATTGATATTAAAAGTAATTCATTAAGCTTAGTTACTTTCAAAATCTTGTAGGACCATTGGTATGTAATAACAAGGTAAAACCCTGACTGTTTTTTAGCTGAATATAAAAAAAAATTATCTGTGTTTGATGTATAAAAACAAACAGTAGCTCCCCGATGTTCGTGACTGTGAACTTGATGGGATACCAAAATACCACATCTTGATGGCTGACATACTGATTAGGGAAAGGGATCTAGGAGAAAATAACTCATTAGGAGTTAAGTTTCAGTACTTTTTGGCATTGGTTTGTATCCTAGGATGCAAGATGACCTTAATTTCTGGTCGTTGGAGTTTTTTTGGGTTGGTTTTGTTTTTGGTCCCTATAGCTACGATTTAAATTTTTCAATCAGAATCTATTGCAGATGTAATTAGCAAACTTAGTAAAATGTCCACAATGCTCAGAAAAAGCAAGCTGGCACAGAGGATCTTCTCTGGCTTCCTTAGTACCCAAAAAATAAATACAGCTGCAATATTAATAAGGGCTGCAAAGTGATGTACTTTGTCATGTGAAGAAGAGCTGGCATCGTGCCAGGTGCTGCTGCTCAGTGGAGTGAACATTAAGCTTCTTCTTTCCTTTTACCTGGTAAGTGGTTGACTGTTGTGTTGCTTTTTGAGCTGTGATTTCAAAGTCATAGCTGTGTTAAGAATGATTAGTTTTTCACTTTCCATGGAAAATACAAGCACGTGATTGTTTACTTCATTCCAACAATGAAAGCCTCATGTACTTTATGGCTCACTGAAGAATTCAAAAACTTTTGCAAGTCCTTCTCTTTTTGACATATTTTAAATATTTAAAAGATTTTTAATGTCATTCATGCTAATCTGTACAAATATTTGGTACTGAATATATTTTCATGTCTTTCCTGCTGTCTGCAATTTTGTTCAGCATTCATAACTAATGTATTGCAGAGGTCAGGGGTCTGTACTGTTGAATTTAGTTTCATGTATTAAAAAATAAGAAATTATACATTTGTTTCTGAAATCAAGCAAAGTGACTTTCATTCCAGATTTTTGATGAATGTGGGTTCAGGAGCTCTAACCTATCTTCCTGTACTTTGGTATCAGATAGAGGAGGTCATGAAATCTCTGTATATTCTCTGCACACTAGTGCAGATGTAGGTTGGTCTATATTTACTCAATACAGGACTCCTGTCTTGCCATACATAAATTATGAAAGAGAATTGGAGTGTTTTGCTTCAGCTCTCCTTAGTTATTCAACTTGCAGCATAAAGAAAAGAGTGTGACAGCATTATAGCTCTCAAAAAAAACCAGATGAATTCTTTGTACTTGGGCCTGAAAAGTGTGCCTGGAGTGCTATTAGTATCCTTCTCATCTACAGCATGGTCAAATTGTACAGCAAATCCTCTTGAAACCTAACACTTTTCTTTCTTTCTTTTCCAACCAGATGAGTTGTCTGCTTATTTAGAGAGCGGCATTGGGTGTTGTGTGAGGTCAATCGTAAAGGTGATGTGAGTGCAGCAACTACTGGCCAGGGCTATGTGTGAAGATACTGCTTAAGTAGTTTTAGTGCTAAATGTGCAGCTGTGTCTTAAGAAACAATCAAAATCAGTGAGTGCAGATTTTTATCTCTGGTTTCTCTAATTCTCCAATAAGATCGTGAACACCTCTTTTAGCCACGGCAGCAATCTAGAATACTTCTAAACTGGCTGCTTTGTAATATGATACAGCCCTTAACAAAGGTGGATTCCAGTTTTGTCTGTCATTCAGATGTTTCTTTTTTCAGTCTGCTTAATCAGGTATGTGCAGGGAGGCTAGTTTAAATCTTATTATTTTATGGCTATTCATTGTGTTAGGGAAGGCTAATCTGTGTCTCTCAGGTTAAGCAATTAGAATTAGTTGGCACTTATACAAATATTTTCTGTCTTAAAATTCTCAAATTTCTACCTTACTGGAACATTTAAAAAAATATTTTCTAATTATATACTATATAATTAGTTCCAAAATGCTCTGAAATATTCCCACACAAGAAGCTATGGAAATGCAAGCCATCACTTTCATATTCATATCCAAGAAGAGAAATAATATACTGATCTGAGTTGAAAAGTTAAGTTTGTCTGTAGAAAAAAGGTTCTAATTTCAGATTTTACAGAATTGTTATGCCTCTTGTTACCTATCCTGATGGAAAATATATGGAGTCAGCATGAGGTTTAAGTTAGGTTCTTCCCTGTTTCATTCAAGGTAGAAATGCAAGGAGTTAGTCCAGCTCGTAGCTATGAGAACTGTTTGATACACAGTAGATTTGATTTTGTTAAGTAGGGAAAATGTGGAGATGTTTACCATCTCATTCATGATGGGGTAATTGTTAATAAGTGTTAATTTTTCAAAAAATTTTACCCTGGCTTACTCACATTATTTTAAGCACCTGGATTTTATATTGATTATGATGTTTCTAGAAGAATTTTCTTCTACACACTCTTTCTAATGAGAACAAGTAAAAATTTTTTAGTTTTTACTTTTATCCAAGTGTCAGAGGAAATTGGTTGTTGCATAGAAATCTAAATGCTGCCTTTTCGGAGCAGTCTTTTGTTTGAAGGAAATTCTTCAGGCATACTTTTTTCTCATCTGCCTTTGGTGTAAAGAAGAACTAAAAGTACAGCATGTTAAATTCTTCCAATGGAAACTTTCCACATTGTAAATTAAGTAATTAAGAGTTGAGGACAAGCAGTCAGCATGAATGACTTAATTTTTCCTGAATAGTGTGTTGCTGTAGAGAAGATTTCCATTTGTAGTGACAGAACCACTTTGGCCATTCTGCTTCTGCAGGTTTCTCTACTGGAAGCAGCAGAAAAGTGATGAAAGTCTGGACTGAGCAGTGGTAATAGCATCTGCATACATTGAGTCAAAAAAACCCAAAAATATAAAAAGTTATAATTGTTTAACATGTTTGTGTTTCTGGCATCAGCAATGCTTTTATGATTCCCAAAATTTGTAATCACAACTTGCAGTTAGTCTTGTCTGTCCTTGAAGTTGTCTTTTTTTTTAAATTATTCTTTTAAAATACCCATCCTATCCAAAACATGTGTGATTTGTTATATTTTTCTAACATCATAATTTCAATTGCATAAAATAAGTAAAGATGTTTCAGGAAAGCTAAGTGGTCTGTGGGATTTCCCATGGAGAGCTGATTAACTCTGGGGTCAACAATTGTTTCCATGATGACACTTCATACTTATAATCATCTTGAAATAAATAGGTGGTTACAGTTCAGGACATAATGACTCATGATTGTTTCTCCTGTAATTAAGTTATAATTGATCTAATTAATATAATTAACATTGTGCCTGTAGATAGGTCTACATACTGTCTACAGTATCATTCAGAAGATAATCTTTAATTTAGATATATTTATTTCTTAAAATAATTGTATTCTATTATTAAAATCCGATATGATTCTAGTGCAACTGTAATTACAGGGAAAAAAATTCACACCTCTGAACTGTGCATTGAGGTAAATCAATGCTTTCTTTAAAAAGAACAATTTCTTTGAAACTCAAGAAAAATACTACAATACTGATCATTTTAATAGCAGTATCACAGGAGTATTATGTGAGTGTTATGAAATAATAGTCTGTAAGTGCTTCTGCTTTCCATTTCAGCAGTAAATTTCAAGAATGTTCTTCAATTGGTTTATGCAATATATAGAAGTAGTTTCAAATTGAATGAGTACCTGTTTTAGTCATGTTACCAAATTAATTAGTCACTTTTTAACAGTCACGGTCATTCTCTAAAAGGAATCAAATTACTATTTTTAGAGCAATCAGTATTTGCCCTGTATAGGATATAGCTTTATGTTAGAACAACAACAAAAAAAAAGTCTAATTTTGTCTGATAAGTGGTGTAGGAATAACCGAAAAGTGAAGCTCTTAAAAGAATTCAAAAGTTAAACCATGGCTAATAAGCCTTAGAGAAAGACTGTTCACACAGATCTTTATGTTCTTTATCCTCAAAAGCTACCTATCACATTAGACAATTTGAAAACACAGTTGTCCATTTATAGCTCTGCATTTTATTCCATCCTCTTCCCATTTCTCACAACCTCCATGTAAATCAATGCCAAAATTAACATTATAGAAGAAATAATGTATCTGAAGAGCTGTGGAGAGCAACATGTGCCTCTTAAAGCAACATGTGCCTCTTAATATGTCACTTCTCTTTAGTCTAGGATTAGGGCCTGCCACATGTGAGTTTTTACTAAAAAATGATGGTGTCCTGAGGCCCAGCAGTTCCTACAAATGCCTGCAATGCTTGCAGTACTATATATACGGGACTATTGATAAGGATTCAGTATCAAAATTTAGTCTAGTGTTCCATAACACACTGAATTAGAGCCATATGTTTCTCCTGTTTATCCCCATATTAGTCTATTTGTAGAAGCAGCCAATATACTTTAGTAAACATATAAATAATTATCTTTAACTTCCCTGCTGTGAGCGTAATCTGGGATGGAATGTAAGGGATACAATGACTACATTCTAGAAAGTCAGTAGGAGTGACAGTAGTAGGTAGGGAGGATTTTGGGAGGTGGGTCTGTTCTGAACAGGTAGCTGTGAGCTGTCTCCCAAGATGTGAGGTGTAGCAGTGGTTTACTTGTGTGAGAATGGCACTGGCAGTAAATTACAGGACAGTGCATTATATAACTTTGGCTTTTTCATACAATCTGCAGTTCAAATTTCTTTGCAGAGGCATAATATTGTGTGAAGAAATAGAAAGTAAGTAATGTAAGTAAAGAAAAGCTCATGAAGTAAGAGGAAGCTGGTGAACTGGAAAGATTTAGGGAGAATTTTTGGTCTTGCAAATCAGAGTTGCACTTCCAGACTTGTACTAATATTGGTTTTGTTCCTACTGGCTGTAGAGCTAACCATAGGTGAAAAAGAAGCAGGGAAAAGAGAAAAGATGTGGGGGGTTTATTCTCCTGGATACAAAAGCTTCACGGTTTACAAAGGTAGCAAAGATGTTCTCTAGAGTAAACTGATTAGGTGAAGTGTCTTCAGAATGTCCAGTAATATAATGATGATGGTGTGTTAATATGAAAAATTCCAAATGATGAAAGGTTTAGCAGGAAACAGAGCTACACACCATGTCTCTAAGAGGCCCAAAGTCCTGACAGCCCTTGACATTCAGAAGTATCAGACATCATGAGTGGAATGAAGAAGCTATTGCTGATATTATAAAATAATCCATATTCACACCTTTATGTCTTTCATTTAGCAGTTTTGCAGAGCTAAACTCAGTATTTCATTCCTCTACAATTAGCTGTATATGTACACAGAGGCATTCATGCAAGCATATCGCTTACTATTGCAGCCTGTCAATGGTTTAAAAGGAGGAAAGTTTATCAGATGCCATAGAGGATGTTTATGTTGTTGTTTTGTTCTTATTCCTTCTTGACATGCCACTCACTCTGGTAAAATTTCCTGAAGAAATGCAGGGTAATTTCTCATCTTGGTTCAAGTGTGAATTTGAGGAAACAGAAAGGAATTAAGAAATTATTTAGGGAAGGCCAAAAGATTCAAGACTATGGTGGCAGTAATTTAATTGGAATATTTTGGAGTTAAAGGAGAACCTTGAATTAATTGTTCCATATATTGTCTCAGCCATTTTTAGTGATCTGTTGTGTCACATAACTCCTGTTGAAGTGTGGGAATTGCAAAATCAGTGTTATAAACTAGTTATCATGTTGAGGTGAAAGGTAGGATTTTAAGTTGTATTCCCCATATTTCACTTAGATTAATTGTAATCTTTGTTCCTCAGGTTCAGTGTTTTACATAATTGGCATAATTAACCGTAAAAATCTCATAGGATAAGAGTGTATTTAGCGGCACAAAAAATAAAAATATGAGGTTTATGACTACCCATTTAAATTTATTGAACACATAGGTGAAGGGTCAAGTCCAACAGGGATCTAGTTCTTGTACTTTGAGAAGACCAATAAGAAGTTTATTGACCATGTGAGAAAACAAATTTTTGTTTGTTAGTGAATAAAAATCAAGAAAGTGATATATGTGTTCCAAAAGCCTTTTCTGAAAGTTTGAATTATTTAGTAGTATCAGATCTTTAATTGATACTTAGTCATCCAGTATCCTTTTCTTTCCTCCATTTGTTCAATGTTTCTTTTTCACAAATAGCTCCTGCCTATTTGATTGTAGGTGGTTCAACAAGCCTAATCTCCTCTTTCTTGAATGTAAGGGTTAAATCTCTATGGCCAAGATATGGTGGAAAGACTAGAAAATTCTCTCTCCACATGTGGCAAAGGATATGAAGTCTATTGAAAAATGTAAATTACCTTCATATCAGAGCTGCTTTCTTCTAGCAAAGAATTGACATATGAAAGAGGTGTCACAAGGAAAAGAGAGTTTTAATGTAAATGTATTTTTGCAAAGGAGGATTTAAATGCAGTTGCAGTTCTTCTAGAAATATATCAAATAAATACCCTTCTGAAAGCAAATGCATAAGGTTGTCTCATCTCTGTAAGTTGAGAGGACACCCCGATCATTCTGTTCTGAGGGAAGTCATCCTTCAGATATGTGGAAGATAATTCTGGTGTTTTAATCCTAAATTATTTGGATTGGCAACTGGATTCGCTCACCCAGTGAAGAGTTTGAAAAAGGAAATATTTACGCATGCTTATTTTTGAGATGCATCTGCGGCCCTGGAGAACAAGGTACTGAAACAAACTATTGAAACAAGACAGAGCTCAGTGGACATCAAATGCCCAAGTGAGCTCTCCAAAATTTGAACTTCCTCTTCCAAGGATAATATTGCATTAAAATTTCCTGAACTCACTTTTACCCAGATTGTAGATCAGAATTTTTAAGCAAGCTGGTGATTTTTGTCTGACAGGCCAAAATAAGTCCCTCTGTTGTATGAAAGCAAGTCCTTCAATATAGGCTACTTTGAGCAGTGTTGTCTTCAGGCAAATTCCTATGTCTGGATGAAAACCTATGGGACAGCTCCCCTGTTTCATAGATCTTTTTGTTTTTATTTTTTTTTCTCCTCCAGTTTTTTCTTTTTGCTTTTCTGTGCAGAGTTCTCTCTAAACTGGTTTTTAATACTCAAGATTAAGGCACTAAATGATCTAATAATGGAAAGGTGCCTTTAAAGACAATTCTATTTCCTCTGTTCTTTCTGTAGCTGAACTGATGGTCTTGGATTCTCTCAGAAGAAGTCTTTTGCACTAAGAAACATTTCACTAACTCAAAAGGGAAATAGTGTTTCTTTCAGATGAAAGAACCTGGACTAAGAGTAAGAGGAGATGAGTAGGACTGTTTTTCCCAAACTAAGTAACCTCAGATTTTTGCTCAATGTACCATTTTAATTCAGCAAACATGGAGGACTGTATTGGCCCAAACATGAAAACAAATTATAAAGGAAACAAAAAATAGACTCTTACTGCAGGTCTCTGTGTGATTATTTTTTTGTTTTGTTTGGTTTCTACTGCCAGTAATACCAATGTACTAGGCTTCTTGCACAAGCCTAGTAAGCTCAGCACTGTGTACAATTTCTTTAACAAAATCAAGTAAAATCTGTATTATAACATAGCAGAATGCTAGCAACGCTCCACTTGGTTTCTCTTCTACCAGTAGTGAATCAAGAAAGTGTTTTTAGCCAAACTCAGACTCCAGTTTCCACTTTCTGTTGAGTACAGATTGTGTCAGATTCATGAAGCTATAGAATAGAAAGAGACACAGAGCTGAACTCTCTGTCCATGTAGAAAAAGATGGAATGGTGTCCCCTTGATTTTTAATTTTTTTTTTGCTGTTTAGACCAACTTACTCGAACCAATATCTATAAGCCAGAATGCTGACTCTTCATGTGAGAGTACATTCCTCCCATGTCTCCAGAGACAAAACTTGTATATGTGCTCTTTCTTGTGTATGTGTTCTCTCACCCTCTCACCTCATGATTCTTGCATTTTTGTCTGTATATTTGCCTGTCTTCAGTAGGGAAGGTAAGAAACAACTCCATTTGAGTTTTTTCCCGTTTTGATGGGAACTAGAGGAAGTGGGTCTATACCCATCAAGTAGGGAGAGATATGAATGCAGGTTTCCCATTTCCTGGACACATACTCTAACAATTATGCTGTGTGCCAAAGACAGCACTCATCATAACCAACTGTTTTTCAAAGAGTATCTGACTTAATGATATATATAGATTTTAGGAGTGCTTTATGTGTATCTATTGGATCAGACCTGTTAGGGGATTTAGAGATGTAAGTATTTACTTTTTGAATGTCTTAATCACCGCAGGTAAGGAGATATCCTAACCAGGTTGCCTAGTTAAAATGGGGCGTAAGCTTCAGTAGGAAAAGCTATAACTAATACAGGATACAGAGAAAAGCTCTTTTTCCAGACAAAAATATCTTAAGAGCATGGAATTTATGAATCTAAATGTCACTGTGTTCTTTGTCTTCTGCATTTGTCTAAAAATATTGCTGTGTACTTGTTAAAAATTTTACATTTATATACAACTTATTCTAGGAGTATTCAAACTAAGATTAAAAAAAAAACCACCAAAAACTGCCCGTTAGGATCGCATTCCCGGGGGGTTATACTTGCTAACTGCAACATTTTTCACTGACTTTTTTTTTTTACCTGATACATATTTCTATCTTGAGAGGATAGATTTTTTTGTTCTGGATTATCTACATGTACGCTATGAAGTTAGGTATTATTTGAACATTGTGATTCATAGGAATCATTATATAATGTATGTTGAAGATGTGGAACCAAAGCTGCTATTTAAAGGATGTTACTTGTATAACATTCCTGAGTTTCTCACCTTTTTCTTTAATTTTCCAATGCAGATAACAATACCCAGACCTTCAGTGGCATCCACACAGTCTGCTTCAGAGAGCTTTCAGTATGGCCACCAGCTGGAGAGAAGAGAGCAGGATGGTCAGTTTGTGGAACATACCATGGAACTTTCCTCTCCAAAGGAAAGTTTGCCAGGTTTGGTTGGGACAGAGGATGCACTTCCAGCTAGTGCGAACAGACCAGATTTGGTACTTAATATTAACCAAGAGGTGCTTGACAGGGGAGGACTTGTCAAAGAATCTGTCCTGGATTGTGACCAAAAGGACCTACCTGAACACAATGGGATACAGGAAGAGAAAGAGCTTGGAAATATTCCTGTGGAGGAGGCTGAGGAAGAAGGGCTCCCACTGGTTTCTGAGGATGCCATTGAAATGCTTAGCAAAGAACAGAATTCTTCTTTGCCAGGAAACTCAAAATCTGCAGAGGAGGAACCTCTAACAAATACTGAAGCAGCTCAAGAATCAAAGTCAAGGCCTGTCTGTTTGGTGCCAAATCAAGATGAGGTTCTGAAGTCAATAGCACCTAAAACATCAGAATTGTCTCCCTCAAGACTTAATAACGCACATGTTAATAGACAGGGAAGCAAAATAGCAACCATTCAGGAAAATGGTTTTCATTCTGATAAGGAGGAAGTCCATAGCCAAGACCTGAAATGCCACCAAGTGGCCCTTACTACTATTTTGCAGCAGGAGAATAAAAAAGAGAAAAATGCTCCCAGAAATGGAGAGTTATTTCATTGCATTTCAGAAAATGAGAATTCTTATAGATCTAAGAAGGACTCCGTTAAATCTTCTTTTGTATTCAGGCAGAGTCGAATCCCAGTTTTAGCACAAGAGATAGACTCAATGTCAGATTCCGCTTCTGTTTCTGCAAAGGAAAAGCTTCTTCTAAAAAAGGCCCATCAGACAGACTTGGTCAAATTACTTATGGAAAAGAGACAGCTCAAATCTTTCCTTGGTGACCTCTCAAGTGCCTCTGATAAGTCACTGGATGAAAAAATGGCTGCTGCTCCAGTACCGTTTTCTGAGGATGATGTCTTAGCTTCGTTTTCTAAATTGACATTGGACTCTCATTTCAGCAAGCAGAATGAAGATAGCTCTTTATCTCCAAGCAGCCCTCAGTCCAGAAAAAGCAAGATTCCAAGACCAGTGTCTTGGGCAACCTCTGATCAAGTTACCAGTTCAAGTTCAGCTCAGTTCTTTCCTCGGCCACCACCAGGAAAACCGCCTACTAGACCTGGGGTAGAAGCTAGGTAATGCAGAGAATATAGAAATAGATTTTCAGGTTGAAATAGATTTTCAGGAGCTAGACTGCAGTTACTGTGCAGGATGTAATGCTGTAGAAGTTCCACCCTCCAACCAATTGAAAAAAAAAAAATGCTGGGCTTCAATTCGCTGAGGAACCTTATAATGTTGGAGAATGAATGAGGAGAAGCTGATACACAAAATGAGCCTGGTTCACTGTTAAAACTAATACATCGATAGATGTGCATTCAATTTTTTGAAACGTGACAATCTATAACTAAATTTTTACACATTTTGTTAAAGCGGAGTTCCTTTTCCAGAACTGCTGGTTATTTAAAAACCTATAGAAATTTTTAGGAGCTCTTGTATTCAGCTCCCTTGAAAATTAATCTGTTCTTAATGTAGACATTGTAAATATTTGGAGATTCCAGCCATCACCATTAAGTCAATTAATGCTCAGGTCATGTCTAAGTAAACCAACTAATTAAAGTAGGGCAGAGTGAATTTTAGAATACCTCCCATTTGTCACGTCTACATGCAGACAACCACAATCTAGGTTTTTCTGTCTACATTCCCAAGATAAGGATAATTTTGATACAGTAGTGCAAAATCCTTTCAAGGAAGCTGCAGTGGGCCTTGTCATCCCTTAAAAATTGTGTATGGGAGTGCACCGATGGTGTGCAGGAATGGATGTACCCCTCTGAAATGGCAATAAGCACTGCTCTTCAGTGCACTTCTTCCAACACCACCAGGAAATTCCTGTTATTCTGTAAACACTGAGGCTATTTGTGGGAGTGAGTTTATATAAATATAAATACTATGTTGAGCTGAACAACACAGAAGCCAAAGCCTAGATCCAAACACCTCTATCTAACAGGAAAGTTGAGGTCCACATATCTGTTCAGCAATGCAACCGCCTCCTTAGTTTCTAGTGATATGGAGTTTCTATTTGAATTTTAGTGAATAGATGGAAATAGAAATAATCTTTCTTCGTTTCTTCTCAAGGTTGCGCAGATACAGAGTCCTAGGCAGTAGCAGCTCGGACTCAGATCTTATCTCTCGTCTGGCTCAAATCCTGCAGAATGGATCTCAAAGACCAAGGAGTTCTACCCAGTGTAAGAGTCCAGGATCTCCTCATAGTCCAAAAACGCCACCCAAGAGCCCTGTCATCCCCCGCCGCAGTCCCAGTGCCTCCCCAAGGAGCTCTTCTTTACCCCGTACTGCCAGTTCTTCTCCGTCCCGGGCTGGGAGATCCCATCATGATCAGAGGAGTTCATCCCCACATTTTGGGAGGAGTAAATCACCTCCTAGCCATTCAGGCTCTTCATCTTCTAGGAGGTCCTGCCAGCAAGAGCACTGCTGCAACAAAACGAGCAAGAATGGTCTGAAAGGATCTGGCAGTTCTTTCCACCATTCCCCAAACACTAAGACTTCCACAGGAAAGAGCAAATCAACTACTAAGCTTAGCAGATAGGAACTGAGTCTTGACAGGTATAAAATCTCCTCCTAAATCTGATGCATGTTGTGTCTGTGTACTGTGTATTTAAAAAAATAATCAAAAAAAAGTATATTAAAAAAGGTGTTGAATCTGCACATTTTAAAGAAAGTAGCCATTGTAAACTATTCATGAGAAAGCATTCTATGTAAATAAGTGGCCAGGCTTTGCCTTAGAGCAGGCAGCAAGCAGATCCACAAAATGGGAAGTAGAGGCCAGGGTAAGAATGGCTGGGTAGTCAAAGAGGTGCAATGTATTTAGAGTGAAAAAGTATCTTGAAGGTGAGTGTTTTAAAATGGTATTAATCTTGATCTGTTTAGTTTCCCTAGTTAGAAGATTTGGCCTAATTATTTAACGCCTTGTGTACTTGAGGGGTATGTAAGAAAGCCTGAAACAGGCATTCCCAAAATGATGTCACTACTTGGGAGATAAGTACTGCTCAAGCATTTCTTTGCAGTTTTAAAAAAGCACACACTTTAGAAGATGATAATTCTGCCTTATAAATTTCTTCCATTTTGAGCTGCGCTCACCTCTGAGTCACTGAGTGCTTATTTTGTCCCCTATTATGGCACAGATTTCTTACCTTAGTATCATATACTTACCCCTTCTTGACACTGATGAAATTTAAAAAATCAATATTTGACAAGATGTTTTTGTACCAATATTATTTAGAGATTTTCTTAGCAGTAATTAGGATCCAAGAAGCTGATTCTCAGTTCTATGTCATACAGTTTTTTGGGAGTCATAGTGGGGTTTTTCAAACCACATTTGATAGGATTTGGAAAAGCATTCTCTCCTAGGAAATAAGAGAAAGGAGTAGATGTATGCCCTTCACTGTATGTTGTAGATTTACAGGAAAATGCAATATAAGTTAGAAAATAAGAACTTTTCTTGACCCCCTTAATTCAAATGAAAAAAGAACATTTGTTATTGCTGACTTTTATTTTCCATTATTTATGGACCACTTAAACCACAGATCTTGCAATGCAGAGATGATTACCAATCAAGTTTTGGGTTTTTGGTCATTTGTTTTTTAAAATTATGGAAGATGAAACAGAGATGAGGAAATTATCTACTTTATGAACGTGATAGGTTAGGGTTGATGGAAGTACACTTAACACCCTTAGAAAATCTGGATAAGAATATTAATCATTAAAGCAAAATATACGGAAAGAAATCTTAGATATTTTCATAGTAGATTATTGTAATTCAGTTTCCCAAATGTGTTTTTGATAGAGCAGCTTTGTTGACTCTCAGTAAAGTCCATGGTGTTTAATTCCTCCAGTTTTATTAGGTAGTTACTCAGTAACATCTTGTGCTCTGCAGGAACCCTGTAGGAATGAAAGGTGTGGCACCTTTTGCTGCGTTCAGAAAAGCATAGTGGGTCAGAATAGGGACAGACAAGAACACAAGCCTGAGAAAGATGCAGCCAGATCTCCTCCCTAATGATTCCTGTTGTGGGGACTCTGGATGCATAGGAGACTTGTCAATTACTGATCTGCTTGCTGTAGTCATATGCCTCTCCAGCCAGCATCTGTGTTTTTTTATTTAACCTCTGCCAAATGAATATTTTTGGATTTAAAAGGGAATATTTTGTCTCTGAGCTAACACATTCTAATGCTGCATTAAAGCTGCCCTAGAGCTGCACTGAATTTCACTTGCTTTGTCAGACTATGTTGATTTTTTCCTTTTCTTATTATGTATTTTTTTTCCCATATGTAATGTAGCACAGTGTGGAACCTTAATTTCATTCAGGTTTCAAGCACTACAGATGAATGCAATAGGTAGGGTATACCTGCTTTTTCTGAAGAAACTGTACCATTGCAAAGTCCTATTCCTTTGTATTATAATGTATAATAGGTGCTATACCAATAATTGCATGTCCTCATGGTAAATTATATAATATAAATATTTATATATACATATATGTATATGCTTATATAAACTCATTCTTTCTCATTTTTCATTTGTAATTTATGGACCACAAATAGTACAGTTCCCCTTCTGTTAGCTCTTGTATACTTACCTCTTCTATTCTCCCCTGCACCCCTGCCAAAAAAATCTGGAATGCACAAATTCTAATAGCCTTTATACCTTGGTACAAAATTGAAGGACTGCTGATTTCTCAACCAGCCAATGTTTTGTGTTGCAGCTTTGTTTTTTTTTTTAATTTCTAATTTCATGTGCACATTTGCATATGGAACAAGAACAAAGACTCAAAAGGTATTTTTATTTTTTATTACAAATAGGTCTTGCTCATTTTTATTTCATATGTGAGTTCTAAATTGTGAATACTTGTCATTTAGGAACAGTGACAGTCTATGAATACCTAATGGTTGAATGTGACAACAACAAATTCCATCTTTTCCTTCCTGTTTTCTACATGTTTCCTTATGGTATGCCATAAAAAAGAATTTGGTCACATTGTGATGTTTTTGTCCTGGGCACTTGCTGGAATGATTTGTTAAGGTGGCGTGGCAGCATATGATTATTTTTCCTTATTTCTGAAAAGCATTTATTATCATCATGTAAGTTTATTCCTATGTTACATTGTCAGTTTTCATAAGTACTAACTTTATGCATCCTTGCCTGAAAATGCTGAAGTTGAGGTGTTTATATTTTCTCTCTAGTGTAACAGGATCCAGAAATGGTAACTGCTTTACAGGTGAGAAAGCACATAACACCTCTGTTACGTTGTCTTCAAAGTACAGGCTTGTCCATTGTTAGACATTACTATGTAAAATAAACCAATGCTGTAGAAATTCACTCGTACTTGAACTACTTGCCAATGTAAAAATAGTAAACTATGCCAAAAAGAAAAAGATAAATCAGTCATTATTGGTGACACAGGCTTCTTTTGGTGAGAAAAAGGTAGAAGGACTGTATACCCCCAGTTGCTTTTTTGCTGTAGATTTAACAGGATGTAAGGAGAAAATAATGAAGATTTGAATGGAGGAGCAATTGTGAATAACTTAGCTTGAACTACCTGCTCTTCTTGAGTTTTTTGTTGCTTGATACCTTCTCCCAAAAGTTTACAGAAATGCTTACTGTAGTCTAACATAGCAATCAGTTAATGTTATTAAGTAATGGTCAATTGATTAACTCATACATTAATGTTAGCTTAATATTTCTAGAGGGCCTATATAATCATTAAGGACTCTGTAAGCTTCAGTATTTGAATGTGGATATGGCTCTGCAGAAAACCACCAATGTACATGTGTGTGACCCTTGTGCAGAGTGTGTGTGAATAGTTTATGGCAGGTTATCTGCAACACATTTTCAGGGACGGGGAAGATTTTTCTCCATTGTACAAAATGGCTGCCGTTACTCTGCATAGCACACAGCAGTTTACATAGGAATATTAGCTGGGAAATAATAAAATTCAAGGAGCTGTTGCTTTGTCTTCTCCCTTTCTTTGGTGAGCAGTGCAATGGAGCCATGACATGTAGCAGGTGCAGATGCTGCATGCTCATTTCCTCTTTATGGTGTATTCTGTGTTGTGGCCAGCACTTTGGAGCATTTTTTAGAGAAACTGAGGCATGAAGCCTTTAAACTAAAATAGAACTTGAAATCACCAAACATTTCACACAGACTTTTGTGCTACAATATTGCATGGTAAAATCAATCTAAGTTACAATCTCAAAAATCAATATTAATTAACCTCTTTATTAATTACAAATGCCAATTACTACTTAGGTAAAACCCTGTTAGAGTAATAGAAAGTGTGATACGGTAGAGCAACGTTGGCAAGTTGTATGATGCTACGCACCTATCTACTGCTTGAGCAGGATCAATAAGCGTAGAAAATGTCACTGCTCAAAGGCAGGAGCAAGATGAGGTCTTAACTGCTAGTTATATGTAATTATACAGGAGGCAAAGCCCTGCAGAGTGACACAAGGCATTCATTACAGCCACCAGCCACATCCTGTCTTGGGAAATCTGGACATATTCTTACCTTGAAGTCTGCATGTTTGAGATCAAGCTTTCTTGCATACCTCACTAAACAGTCTTGATGTATAAGAAAGGATTTGGTCCTATATATTTAAAAATAGCTTGAAATATTTTTCATCTGAAAAAGACTTGCTGGAGCTCTATCATCTACAATTTGTAGTATTATGGTAATAACTATTGCTGGGAAAACACACAATTTTGATTTTATATATATATATAAATACACATTTGTACTTAAGTGTATCTTCATATACACTTATATAGATACTGTATATTATATAGAAATATATATATACATACATACATATGTGTGTATATACATATAGATAGGAAGAGTCTCAGCTATTCCATCCTGTTCACTGGAATTCATTTGCCGGAGTGAGCCAAGGCCTGTTTTGCTTTGATTTACTCTGGTCTCCTTTTCATCTACTGCAATGTCCCTATGCCCTAATTCTGATTTTGTGTCTTTTTCATATTACAAGGTCTCATCCTATAGTCCTACTTGGGCAAAACTCCTGTAGGTCCTTCTTATTGCAGTAATACTTATGCAATGGTTGACTGTAATGCTTCTAATTTTTTTTTTCTTTTTCTCTTTGATGAGAATGTAGATAAAGCCAGATTTACAGTACAGTCTTTTTCCTGTAAACAAATTTTTTCTGTAATGAATTGTACATTTTTATGGAACACTTAGAGGCACAAATTCTGGTAAGAAGAATGTAATTATTCCAATTTCTTAAAAGGGTCTAATGGAAAATGAATTATATGTGCCTCCAATTTTTATATATATCTTAAATTAGAGATTAGTCTTCTGGAAATGAATAGGAGAAAAAAAGAGAGCTCAAAGTCAAACTCTTTCTCATGACAGGCCTATAATACATGAATTTTTTTCATGCAGGACTGATGCTGTGAGGGGACAAGAGCCATGTCTGTCTTGTCATTCTCAGTGAGTCAGGGTCTGCTTAGGTTAACACTAAGCTTCCTGTGGTGCATTCTCTGTATGCTTTTCCACTTCTAGGAATGGTCAGAGAACTCTTAGCTGGATAAAGGCCTTGACTTTTATCCATGAGTCCTCTCTTCAGCTGGTGAAAGCTTTGGCTGCTTGTTGGATGGTGAACATGGCAGTGCTAGGTTAGCAGTTGAACTTGGATCTTGGCAGTGTTTTCCAACCTTGATGGTTCTATGATTCCTCTTTCTGAAATTTATAGAACAGGATATAATATTTTTATTCAACTTCTTTTAGCTAATCAAGTAGGCAGTGAACAACTGATTGGGTTTGTTTGCTGTTTTGCTTTTGGCTCAAATGTCTTTGGTTGTAATTAGTACCATTTTTGGTTACTAGAAATGCTGGTAAAAGAAGTGAGGTTCAGTGTTTTGACTATATGCAATACACAGGCATAGGTCATACATTTTTTAGCTAATCAAATTGCATAAACATGCACATCACATAAGAATACCTCACCTGTCTCTTGAAGCCAGTGTTCCTTTTCCCTACACATAATATTTGTGAAAGAGAAATTATATAAAATCAGCTTGGATTATATAATAATTATCAGGAATTATCTTATGATATTGTCAAATGCCAAAAAGCTTTTATCACTCATTTTCATATGGTTTAAATAATCAGACTTTTAAATATATATCTTTAAGGAGGGGGTTTTGTTTGGTTGGGTTTTTTAAGGAAAAATGTACAGGAGTCCATTGTTTCAAAGACTGATGTATTAACTTTGCAATGACTCTTGCCATCCAGGTTTGAACAAGTTGGGCTGATTTTACTCTCCATTGATGATAACACATTCTCTCTCAACAATGATAATGACAAGTCCAAATGCTATGCTCCTGTTTCTCTTCTCCATTAAGAGCTTGGACCTGTGGGAGTTCTTGCTGTTCTTGTGCAGGTGCAACTTCATTAAAATCAGTATAGGGTCCTGTTTTGTTGAGGCTCTTTCCCCTGATTAGGAACTGAAAAGATAAACTCACTCTATGAATATCAAATTTGCTGTTGCTGTATTTTAAATTGGAAAATACTAATTTTCTTATTGTTGTTATTAATATTACATGACATGGCATGCCTCTGGATCTCTCCTTTTCTGTCAGAATTCTGTTGAGAGCCAGCTTTGGCCAAGAGTACAATGTGGTTTCTTTTAAAACAGTATCCCAAGTGGGCTACTCATGTGAGGCCCCCATCATCCACAAGTGTCTGTGGGAATTCAGCTGGAATTAATTTGATGTTTGTTTTGAGATCACTTGATCTTTGACCTTTTATGTAAAGGTCAAAGCAGAACAACTTGCTCCAAAAGATGCAATGTAATTAATTTGGTCTGCCTGGCTTCAAATCCTTTTAAACCAGTATCAGCTGCATGGCAGGCATGGTCATAAAGGTTTGATGCAAAGTGAAGTAGGATTTTTTTGACAATTTCACATATTTTTCTTCTGACTGGAGATCTGGATTTGTTCCCAAGCAGCCTTCTCTGCATCCTCTTTACTTTCATTGGCTAGGAAGCAAGATTGAAAATTCTTCCCCAGCTTTTAACTTTCTTTTTTATAGAGTCAGCCCAGACTCAAGTTGCAGTGCTTGTGTTAACAGATGCCAATTTTCAAATGCTTTCCTATGAACATCCAAACTAGTAAATTAAGGAAATCACCAGCAATGCCTTCAGACAAGTACTGACTTTTTGAAGTGTCCAACCAATGGCTGCTAATCTAAAATCCCCGGGCAATACCACAAAGAATCAAATCTGTGTGTTAATTAAAAATACAATGTTGTAAACCCCATAAGAAATCAAGTACTCCATAGTAAAGTCTGCAGTGTGATTAAATTAAGTGGAAAGTAGTTCTGAGATTGTTTTTTACCATTGAGGAAGACAAATGTTAAGTCCTTCAAGTTCTCTTACTCAGTAATTGCAATTCTCTTCCCCTCCTTGGAAATCCTCTAAGCCATTCTTTTTATTTAAGTTTGCTCAGGCACCCATGAGCATAAAGAGTTAATGCCCTTGTAATGGTCATTTGTACATAAAGTTGTAATTATTTATTTTCTCATTTGTACCATATCAAGGCTTTGTACAATGTTTAAGTTTTGTTTTCAAATTATTTTGTATTTTATTTTTATAAACTGGTTCTAAATAAAATATTCATTCAGCATGCAAAACTTCAGTTCTTGATTGTGTTTGTATAATGATTCATTAACTTAAAAAGCTTTAGCTGAAATATTTTTCAGTGTTTTTTACTACTGTAACCCTTTAATTTAAATGGATAAAGTGCTTCAGTAGTGATTTTTTTTTCTCTGTTTCAAAAAAGTAAAAAAGAAGTGTGTGTTGGTACTACTACAGCATGAATCAAATGTTCATATTGCAAATTGAAATGATTGGATCAATGGAAGTTTAACTGCTTTAGTAGGTTCATGTGCTGTATATTAATAACTACAGAAAAATCCAAATAGGCCATCTCAGAAACCTGACTATTTGTTCTTATCCCTTCTGTTTGTGTTCATCTAAACAATAACTGATTGGCACAGCCAGATCAGGTCAATTTTAGTACAATAGGGTGGTCCTGAAATGCCAGCTGCTGATGGCATTTTTCCCTTCAAAAGTGTATTTTTTTTATTTAGTCAGAGGTCACTATAATTGACCTCTTTTGGGGATAATCAGCTGTCTGGATGTAGTCGCTAAGCTTTTACAGTCTCTTGAGGGGACTTGTCTCCCTCTGTATAATAAACTTAAGCAGCAGATAGCAGAGAAATTAATGAATGGAAGTTGTTACTGAATCTGAGTGCTATGGGGGAAATGCAGTGTTAAGCTACCAGTTGCTGTAGTTTCCTCCAAGACCCTTTTATCTTTCTAGTAACATTAAGCATAAGTAGAGTGTAAAATCATTACAATTTATATTTGTGGTTTGTGCCTGAATGTCTTAGTCCTATGCTACCAGAAAATAGTCTGCACTTTGCACAGCAGGCCAAGTTTTTTAGGGAAGTCCAGAAGAATTTGAGAAAATTCCCTGGATCTCTTTCTCAGTATTACCACTGTTATGCCATGCATTTGGGAAAATTTAAAGCCAGCTCTGCCTTTGTTCAAATAATTGGCAGTACTTTCATTAAGCTTCATGACCAGGTCATTAGCTCTTGTCATTTACATAAATAGCTTCACAGGAAACAAACTGGGAATTCATTTACTCAGTAACAGTCCAAGAAAATTATTTCACCTTCTGTTAAGAGCAGCCAGAAACTTAATGGCATGGCTTCTGGATGGTGCATGTGATCACAGACAGGGTGTGTAAAGAAATAGCAACCAACTGTATTAATTTGAAGATGAGAATAACAATTTTGCCCACCCTGTAGTGATGAGAGGTAGCTCAGTTTCCTTCTCTATTTAAAAGATGTAAATCTAGAATGTGTCAGAAGTGGAAGAGTGACTTTGATCTGGCTCCAGTATGTTTTAGCAGTACAACTGAAACACAGGGAAAGAAGCAAGATCAGAACAAACATTGATGTGAGGTCTGGTTGTTCTCTGACCATCACAGTGTCTTTTAGCATTGCCTGGCTTGTCTTCATTCATACAGGAGATCCAATCTGCCCCTTCTGCTCCCAGGATCTTGCTGCACTTCTCTACTTGCACTGTAGCTGCCTCTCACGTAAATCAGTACTGGAACACGAGAAAGCGGACACAAGTCACCTCTCCCAAGAAGTACACGTCAAATTCAAGAATTAACAGTTGCAAAAAGAATTGAAACATCAAGAGAAAGACAGGTTAGAACTGCCAGTTGCAACCTGGACAAGCTCAAACTGCTGCCCAGAAGGACCAGGTAGATCGCATTTCCAAATCTACCTAGAATACCATGGTAGCATGAATTACCTTCTGTGTCCATGAAAACAAAATACAGAAAATCCTGCTCAAGAGAGCCCATCTGTACTGATGGAGGACAAATAATGCTTCCAACAAGTTAATTTGAAAAGCTTTTAACAACATAAAACCAAAAATCCATAGAAGGATTCTTTGCCGTTCTTAAACTCAGCAATTTCTTAATACCTGTCACCCACACTATCTTCTTTTGTTAAGGGAAACCTGGAAAAAAGAACTTTCTCTTCTTCAAGGCATTAATCCCAAAGAACATTGTGCTGTACACATATATATTTTATTTTTGTGAGATTTTTTCACATTTTACTCCATCTGTGATTCTGAAGGGAAACACTTGCTAACTGATTACCCTGTTTTCACATTTTAGTAGGCAGCAGTGGCTGGTTTCTGAAGTGCAGATGAGTTAATTCAGTACACCAAAATGGTGGACATGAACATTTTCATATGGTGGTGTTCAGTCAAAGCTGACTGCAAAAGTGGCATACCTTATGCTATGATTACATATTCTTATGCTTCTAGGAGAGGGGCAGTTTCATTGTGATTCTCTATGTTATTTGTATTTGCTAAATTTCTGCAGCAGGAATGCTTGTGCAAACTGACTGTAACACTACAAGCAGCCAGTCATTGCTATAGGCCAAATTTATCTGCAGAACCTTTTTAAATGTTGGTGATAAATGCTTAAGAAGAGCACCTGTATGACTTTTCAAGTCATTGGACAACATTTCAGGTGAGTGTTTTAGTTTGACCTCTGGTACAGCTGCCAGATACAAGAACATTGCACCTCTGCTACTTCTGAATTGTGCAAAGTAGAGTGGCTTGAACACGTAAGCCTGAAACACAAAATAGTGCCAGTGACAACAGTTTTCCCTATCTAAATACGAAATGGCAATTTTTCTTTTTGGCATGAAGATAAAATGATTTTTGCTTGTTTCAGAGTTGACACCAAGTTACATTTTGCTCCAACTCATCCTCATCTTTCTTCTTCCTTGGCTACTTAGTTATGAGAAAGGAAATTATAATCCAAGCTTTTTAAACTATGCAGCAGCATTTGTCTGGAACAAAGTGAGCCCCTGCCTCCTGTAATTTAACAGCAAATCTGACTTCCATTTCATGTAAAAAAGTACAAAGCTTTTTGTTCTCTGTATTTCAAACACTGTGGTATTGATTCAATTTCTTAAAAAATCAGATGAAGATACAGCCTACATATAACCTATATGTCAGAAACAGGCATCACTCATCCATTCCTCATTTTTCTGTATTTCTCTATTTTAAACATGTGACTGGTTAAAAAAAGAGACTACCCTGCTAGTGCAGTAAAACACAATGTCTCTGAAGAGAGGGTGCATTTGACAAGCCAGGAATGAACAACAGCCAAGTGGAACAATGCTGTATGACTTCTGAAGAGGACACTAATGAATGCCAGTGAATGCTCAGTGCTAAAGCATTCCTAGAATAAGCAGGTATCTTAAACTCCTTCTGTGATGCCTTGCACAGCTCAGACTTCTAAAACCTCAACAACAACAACAACCAAGCAAACACCCCCAACATAACTATTAGAAAAGAGAAGTACTTAAAAAGCCAGCTGCTTCTGAGGCTTGTTTAATCCAAGAACCAAGTAACTTCTGTAAGTTAGCTCCTGGTGGTAGTAACCATAATGATACTTTTTTACCCCACTCTCATGCCTTTTATTTTTCACAAGGTGACATTAAACAAAGGATGATACAGACAAAAGTCTTACTCAAAATAAATGTGGGTTTTTTTAAGAGAATAAGAGGATAAAGAAAAGAGAAGAAATTTATTAGCCAACTGCAACAGAGTTAACTGGAGGCTGGTAGTTAGTGTTTAATGCCACCTATAGTAAAATGTTTCCCACTGGGAAAAACATGGGAGGCAAGTCCACTTGGCTCCTTTGAAGTCACAGGCTGGAGCAGAACATACATCAGCACCCAACAACACAGTCATTTTACATCTATTCAAGTTTTTACACATCTGCAAAGCAGAAATAGTAGCAGCCATTTGGATGTTCTTTCTTAATGGTTCTCAGGGGGGGCCTAGGAAACTCAGAAGGACCTGGTTCTTGTGACATGGAGCTGGAGCTGCAGCTGCTGCTTCTGCTGCTGCTTCCAGCCACCTGTGCTCTAGCTCTGTCCTTAGCAGGGGAGAGTTGGGGGGATCCTGGGCTCAGGTACCCTGCTGTGGTCTGAGTAGATGCAGTGGCATGTGTGGTTGGGCCAGTGTTGTTTTTCACATAGACGTTCTTGATAGCAACAAGCGTATGTGCCATGATGCTGATGCTGTTACTCAGATCTTGCATGCCTTGCTGCAGCAGCCGAAGATTGTGGTTGACACTGTCAAAGCCAGACTGGATCACCTGTATTTGGGTCTGCTGAATCTGCAATAGGTCCTCTTCAGTCATTTCATTTTGGTCTGCCTGGCACCTGCCTTTTGTTTTGGCTTTTACTTTCCCAGAGGAACCACCACCTGATGTCCCCAGAAAAGGCAGTTGTTCTTGACTAGGTGGAACCACTACCATGTCCCCAGAGCTTTCTTCTGGCTCCACCACCTTCACTACTATTTCTTCTTTGAGGTTCATCTGCTCAAGACTGGATTGATGAGATGGGCCAGGACTGCCATTAAACCCTAGAAGAGGTGGAGGGAAGAAAAGCAAAGGAAAGCCCATAAGAAACTTCATAACCTCAGTGGTGACATATTTTCATGTCCACTAAGCACTAACATCAGTCCTTGAAACAAGACTCTCAAAATATGCTATCATTGATGGTTTTAGAATACAAATTACTTTGAGAGGTGGTAAAAAACCACAAATACGCATTCACCAGTTAACCATGTATCTGCATACTACAGCTCCCTTACCACCACAGAAGCCAAACTTTAGGATCCCAGAGACAAAGTTCACTGCAAGCTCATTTCATGCCATATCGTGCACGCAGTAAACAGTTAGCATTGCTCAGAGCTCAGCATTGCTGAAACACTGGATTGCAAGAATCCCCTGATATTCCAGCATGCTAGGACAATATCGATGGCATGTATGAAGTTATGTGCTCGCAGCACGTTGTACTGGCTGGACCTGCGTGCTGCCATTTGCAAGAATAATAACGGCAATAGTGAAGATCGGTGGCCGGGTCTATCGCCTCGTGGATGGGCAGCATCACCTACGAAACGCTGTTTTTACTCTTGGTGCTGTTCTTAGACACTTCTGTGACCTAGAGCACGAAGCCTCACAGTTCTGTGTGCGCGCGTATACGTTTTGCCTTTCCAAGGATCCGAACCAGCGCTTTCCTGCGGGGTCGGTGCCCGCGGCCCCTGCGCGCACGCAGCGGGCGGGCAGCGCCGCTCCCCGCGCACCGGGGCTCCCGCGGCTGCGCTGGGGGACGCCGGGCGGGCGGAGGGTCCGTGGCGGCGCCGCGGGGGTCGCTCCCGCACTCACCCATGTCCCCCACGACGGCGCCGGGCAGCTCCAGCGTGTCGATGCCGCCCACGATGGGCACGGCCTCGGCGGGCAGCAGGGAGCCGTAGGGGCGGCGCTGGCGGCGGGCGGGCGGCGCGGCGGCGGGCGGCAGCTCCTCGGGGGCCAGGAGGAGGCCGAGGGCGGGGGGCGCCGGCGGCCCGCAGCCCTGCGAAAGGCGGCACAGCTTGCTGCGGTCGCGGCGCTTCAGGTCCCGCCAGCGCTTCTTCAGGTCCTCCACGTCGCGGGGGCAGGCGGCCACCGGGTTCACCTTGTGCCGGATCAGCTCCCACACCTTCCGCTTCTGGCCCGCGGAGGCGCGGCCGGGTCCCGCCGCGAACAGCAACTGCTCGTGCTTCAGCACCTGCTCGATCAGCACCTCCGTCTCCGCCTCGTTGAAGTTCGCCTTGCGCCGTTTGGGCGAGTCCTCGGCCATCCTCCGCCGGGGGTGTCGGCGGGCGGGCGGGTGGACGAGGAACCGCGGGGAGGGGGGGACGCGGCTGCTCTTCCCTGCGCCCCGACCCGCGGGTGCCGCCGCCGCTAGGCCGGGCCCCGAGCCCTGCTGGGGAAGGAAATACCGCGCATGAGAGGAAAAGACGCGCACGGACCGGCGCAGGCGCCCCGTGCCCCGCGTGTTGACATGGGGAGGGGGCGCGGCCCCCGCCCGCCTCCCCGGCGGGAATCCCCGCTCGGCGCCGCCCCCGCGGGAAGGGGGAACACGGCGGGCCCACCCCCGGCGCGGGTTGTGCGCGTGCTCGGCGGGAGCGGGGCCGGGAATGGCGGCGGTTTTGGAGCTGCTGCTGCAGGAGGAGGTGCCGGTCAGCGCCGTGGTGCGGTGGCTCCGGCACGGCCCCGGCCACCGCGCGGCTGAGGTAACGCGCGCTAGGTCGTCCGCCCGCAGCGCCCTGGCTCCGGCGGGACCGGGCCCGCAGCCGCGCCACTCCCCCAGCACCCTCCGCTGCCGCGGGCCGGGGCCGTGCGGGAAAGTTTGTCCGCCCCGCGCTGCTGTGAGAGGTGAAGCCCGCGCGGGTCAGCCCGGGGCCCCGTCAGGTGCCGTTCGCGGCCGAGCGTCTGTCGAGCCGCCAGCGGCACCGCCCCCGGCGCGGGCGGGCTCCGGGCACGGCGGCGGGAAGGCGAGGCCGCCGGCGGGAGCTGCGCCGGGCGTGTGAAACCCGCTGGAATGCGCGGCGCTGAGCCCGCCGGAGCTCAGCGCCGCCGGCACCGGGCGGCCTCGGGCGGGCGGTGGCGCCGCGCGGCTCCGGGGCGGGAGGCGGGGAGGCCCCGCGGGCACGGGAAGCGCCGGGAGCCCGGGGCGCCGTGTGCTAGCGCAGGGCCAGCGGGACCGGGGGTGGGCAGCCCAGCACGGCACGGCACAGCACAGCTGGTGTCCCGAGGGAACGCGGTGACTCTTCCCGCATCTCTGTAGGGGAAGGCAGCGGTGAAAGCGGGACGAGGCTGTCAGCACCCGGGGCTTGGTGGTGGCTCTCTGCAGGCGCCAGCGCGCCTCCCGGCTGGATGTTCCTCCCGCCTGGACCTTGAGGAAGATCTTTGCGGGCTGGGAGAGGGTATTTATTGGCTGAGTTTTGTAACGAATGATTTGGCTTCTTGTGGAAATAAAAACTTCTGTAACTGTAGATAGACTAGGAGTGCTTATGTTTCCCATAGAGAATGACACAGAGAAACAATTGCTATTTAAAGCATCTTCTACCTGATCCCCTTGCATAGTGCTACCTAGTATTAAAATCAAAACTCAAGGGTGTCACCCCCATGAGTTAGTTGGGTATTGCCATCATCCTAAATGTGTGGGAAGAATGGACCAGCACTTTTATGTTGTGTGGTATTTCTTCAGCTGTGACTTGCAAAAGCAAACCTGTGGACATTATGAAGTTTGAGATCCTGGCAGCTCAGCTAGCGCTATATGGGTGAGGGATGGGGAGGTCAAAAAGTTTTCCTTTGCAATGGAATTTCTTGCTGCCTTTTGCTGTTGGGAGCAGTGCAGTTACTTCAGCATGAGAAAGCAAGTGAGAGGTTTGCAGCTGGCACCTGTTGACAGGTTGCCATTACCCAGTTGTGGAGGAACCAAACCTCCGTTAACTTGGACAGAGAAAGATGAATGAAAATAGGCTGTGCTCTGAAAAGTTAGAGAAACTACCCAACTGTATGCATAGCACAGACTGTAATGATCTTTGTGCCCCTGTGCTAATTCCAGGGGAAGGAAATGCTAGGCCATGTCTTGCTCTAGCTCTCATGGCAGTTTTGGGCTGGACATGGTCTTCTGACACCTCATGGGGGTTGTATTCTGAGCTGTGCTTTTTCACTGATTGTTGGCTGCTTGGCTTGTTATCTGGGCTGTGTCAGAATTTCACACTTCTCCAAGGAGCTGAATTGGTCTCACACTTCAAAATATGCATTTTAGCATAGGTGTTGAAGATTATGTGAGTCCAGTTACAGACAGGCATGTTAATTTTACTTTCACTTCTTTCTTTCATGCAGAAACTACCTTCAGAAATAGTGTTTGCTTTTTTGACTTTTCATCTTGTTAGGGTTGTGAATACAACTTTACAGGAGTTTGTATGCAATGCTTTCAGTATTAGTGAGGAAAAGGTTTTGAGAACAACTTCTGTTGTTGCAGATGTTGCTGAATCCCACTGAGAGGAAACAGAAACCTGATGGAGTGTTAGGAACAAAAGAATTTTTACCCAGGGTACAAAACTTCAAACTGCGCATGTAGCGTGAAGTAAATTTTGTCTAGATTTACCCTTGTAAGATCAATGCCACCTGTTAGATTTCAAATGTGTTGGGTCAGTGGTGGGGTTTTTGTTTAAGTTTCTCAAGTATAAACTTCACATACCTTAAAATTGCACAGTCTCTGTTTAGACTTCGGTGAGTTCTCGAGCAAAATTATTTAATTGAAATGGAAGAGCAGCTTTGGTCGTGTATTTGGCGCTGCAGGGCCCCAGGTGCTTCAGCAGTTGTTGTTACAGCACCCCTCTGTGGGAGCAGGCGGCATTCACAGAAAAACAGGGCGCAGAGACCTTGCAGACTGTGGATTTTTCTGTTAGAATTAGATGCTTTCAGTATTGATGTTTTCAAAATGTTGAACTTGGGGGCGTCAGTTGCTCCAAGTCCTCCCTGGTCATAGCTGCAGAGAGTATTACTGATGTTTCCATGGAACAGTTTCATTATTTTCCAATCAGAGACCAAAGTGAATGACTCCATCTGAAAACTTGTGCCAAAATGGCTCGTGTGTAGGCTGGTTTTAGGGTCTGTGACCAGCACTATTGAATTTCAGTGATGTACTTTGACAAGTCATGTTGGTTTTTATTGTGTATTGAGATCCCATAGTTACTACTTAAATGTGTCTGGGTACTTGGAGAAAGAATCAGGTAGCATCTTTATATTAATTTTTTGTCTACTTCTCTTGTAGGAGAATCACATCCATGACAAGCTGGTATCTCTTAGCTTGCTTCAGAAAGATTTTGTGCCTTTTCTGCTGAATTTTTTAAGGGAGCAGACCAGCCAGATCCTGACTAATGGACCCCCTACTCCTGCTAAAACTCCTAATTCCAAGGCTCATGGGAGCCAAAGGACAGGATCAGAAAGGAGGGCAGGCCATGCAACCAGCAGCCGAGTGCAGCTCTTTTCTCAAAGGACTTCAGTGACCACCTGCACCACAGATACCAGCTTTTCTCCTGATGCCGCATCCAGTGGTTCCTCTTCCTTTTCTGGGTCGAACCTGTCTAGCCCTTACGGTGATTTCCCCAGCGTGGTCTCCAGCAGCAGCCCGAGCTTTGGGCACAGCCCTGTGCTCCAGCACGGTGAGAGGCGTTCCTCTCAGAAGGCCAGCCTGGGGAGCTTCCTGCCAGCCACGCCGGAGGCGCTGCCCGCGAGACGGGGCCGCAGGAAAGGCAGCAGCTCGGCCGGCGCCTCTGGCCGGCAGGTGGCTCGCGATCTGGGCCGTTCCCTTGCTGAAGAGGAGGATGGAAAGAGTGATGGTGGATCGTGGAGTGGAGGGAGAAGGAAGCGGAGTGAAGTGCCTCTTGTTCCTGCCAGATCCCCGCCCAGCCAGCTAAACCTTAACAACCTGGAGGAATTTCCACCCATGGGTGCTGCTTCTGGCTGGACAAAGTAAGAGCGAGTCCGCCTCGTTGTGTCACTGGGATTGCTGCAGGTTGCAGCTCCTTGACCAGCAGTTGTGGGTGTCCAGACGCAGAAGAGGCTGTAATACACAATACTTGGCTTCTGGGAAACATGGTCAGAACTGCTTTGTTCTGGTCATCGTGTAAGGAGGGGAGTATTGCCTTGACAGGGAGTCAGGTTTCCTCTCTGTGGGCTCATCCAAGACGCCTCTTTTGCCTCTCACTTGTGATGCTGCCTGCAGCTGGCCAGTGCACGGCCCAGCTGATACAAAGCTGAGCTCATCTTTGTCCTTGTGTGTTCTAACGAGTCAGCGTTATCTTGGCTCCTCACGTTTCTCATTTAACAGAATATCAATTGGTAAGGAAGAGCTATCCTGGAAGGCTCTCCAGCTTTACTGATGCTAGCAAAAAAGCTTTTGGATTGATCTTCTGTGGCTTCTGGTAGCAGATGTTAGCCTGCAGCTTCATTTGTGCTGTGTAATTGTGGACAAAATAGCAGGCCGTGTTCTTGGTCTGCAGCAAGCCCTGGTCTCCTTGGTGACTTCAGCTAAGCTTTGGGGCAGCTGTTTGTGTTGTGGTTGCCTCAGTCCTTTCATCTTTGTCTTTGCGTTCTTTAAAATCCTCATTACCAAATAGAAAGCCTTTGTGTCAGCCTGTTTGCTCTGTATATCAGTCACTGGTCTCTGAAAGTGGGACTTTCTAGTTGGACATGCAAAATTCCAGCTGAAAGTTATAAAATGAGTGAGTGTTCAGCAAATCCAAATGCAGGGGTTGGGTCCTGCTCTAGATGCTACTTTGGCCAAGGGAGATAAGATGTGTTTCCAGCACAGCCAGCAAGTCTCTCTTCCTCAACTGCATTAATGCTCAGCTAGGAAAAGGAAGTAGGAAAGAGATCACAAGTCTTTGGAAATCAATGTTACAGCGATTTTGAGAACACCTTAGCAGTTAATATGTAGCAACCAGCATTTCTGTGGTGCTTTATGTTTCTGTATCCATTTCCATTTTTTTAGTGCTTTTTTTGCTACTTTACCAAGCTTATTCCTGAAGGACAAATCCAAGTATTTTGTGCAGGAAGGATGGGTTTCCCTGAAGTTAAACAGTCTGGACTCCCACTGATAGACAATGGCAACTTGATTGATTTTGGCAGGTTTTTTCCCTCCTGATCATGTCAGAAATGAATTCACCAGCAGTTTCTTACTAAAATGGGGCATATCCTGTCCTGCAAATTAGAAACATTTGGAAGGGTTGTGTGGCCCTGTGGTACCTGTTAGATGACTTGCTATTTGATAATTAATTTTGCTGCAGGTTTAGCAGGTTGCTTGTAGCAGTCTATAGCTCCATGACTTTTTTTTTTCAGTGATAGAATAAAATTAATAATTACAGGTACAGTTTAGAAATTCAATATCCCAGCTCGACATCCGTTTTGTTTTAACATTAGATTCCTCTGGAAGAGTTGATTGCACATCTGTCTTGCGACCGAAATTTTTTGTTATTGTTTAGCTTGATTTTAGTGGAATTGCTTCTCTTCTTTTCAGCAAAAGCAAACCATCGAGGCGAATCAACCCAACTCCTGTGAGTGCTGAGCGGCCCCTCTCGAAACCAAAGACCTGTTTCACTTCTACACCTGTCAGCCGGTCTCCAGCCTCGAGCCTCGAGGCCTTTGCTGCTGTCCAGGAAGGACACCTGTCATCTGTGATGAGCAACAGCCTTCAAGAGGAGAGGGAGATGCTGAAGAAAGAACGGTACAGTCTGAGCAGGAGGCTGATTCTTAATTCCCTTGTGTCCTGGTTCCAGCCAGGACAGGGTTAATTTTTCAGTAGCCAGGAGAGGGCATGGCCAGGACAAAGTGAAAATGACAGAAGAATATCCAAACCAGATATTGGTGACCTTAAATTATAATTTGCCTAAGGCCAAATGTGTCTGTGGTATCAGACTAGGATATTAATGCACCTAGCTCATGTTTGCCATTTTAGAGGTATGCTGGCTCTGGAACAATGACCCTCACTTCAAAAGTGTAGTCAGTTCTCACTGCTTTTATGAGATTTTTCTCTTCATGGAAATGAATGTGTGGTTATCTCCTATGCGTCTTTCCTTAGATTGCACAGGCAAAGCAATTGGGTGTAATTAGACTGTGTTTGAAGATTGCACCAAAACACATTGGTTTGGAAAAAATGAGTTAGTGATGCAAATGTGTGGAAAGTGTTAATGGTCTTGCAAGGTGGGTAGGCTAAAAGAAGCTTGCAGTCAGAGAAAACAGAATATGGGCACTTGAGATTCTGTTTTAAAGATTACTACTGCAGTTGTCTGTTGAAATTTGCTGTCAGATGAAGTGAATCTTCTAATTTTGTCTCTGCTGTTTGGTTAGTGTGTGACTTTTATTGCTTGTAAAATGGTATCACTGATAGTCTGTGAAGATTGATACTTAGAAAAAAACCAAACTGCAGTAGTTTGCACTATTGTTTATTGTTTATAATTGCTGAGAGAACTGTTGCTGTTCTTTGTAGATTTTGTTCTTGGGGGAACTCCTCAGGACACATGGGTGTAATTCTTTTCCTGCTAAGTTTTGCAGTTCACTTCAGTGTGACCAGAACCGGCTGAAACATATCCAGTAGAGTCTAATGAATTACTGCTTGTACTGAACCTGCAGCAGAAATGCTCAGGATTCAAACCTGCCACTCTGCACTTAAGTCTAGCACCTATTCCAGTCTGAATTCTACCTGAAATGTCCCAGTAATGTGTATCAGCTGAAGTCAGTGAAATAGCAGTATGTGGTTGGTTGGATCTTGCCCATGCAGTGATATTCTCATCTGACCCATCATACTTGAAAGCTGGGAGTTGCTGCTGTGTCCTCAGTTGTGGTGAAATACAGAAGTAAGGCAGTCTTCAGCCAGCTAGATCCCTTTGAGCATGGGCAAAAGGTGAATTTCATCCTGAGGTAGATGACAGCACTGGGGCAGAAGTGAAGCACAGTGTAACTGCATTATTGGAAACTTGCCATGGGTAAGGTCACAAAGTACTTGATAGTGGGCTCATCCCTTGGGTGCGATCACAAAGTACTTAATGAATAATTTTCTTCAGTTCTATCTATTACTCAGTTTTCTTCCGTTAGTTGATTATGTTCATTGCAAGGAAGCTGCTGGTAGTCTTTCTACTTCCATTTTGGGACCCGTTCTTCATCCCAGCAGTTCTGCTAGAAATAGGCCAATTGAAAAGGTTCTTTGTTGCAGGTGAAAATGTTTCTGACTTCCCAGAGCCCTTAAAGTGACTTAAATCTTTCACTTTTGATACAGTGTGGCAAGAGGTAGTGTGATGTTCCAAGTGGAAATGTTCCATTGGAATCTTTGACGATCATTTGATATTGCTGTTACTGCCTCGTGTCCCGTTTCTCAAGTGTGTTACATATGCTACCGTGCTGTTGCATTTTGGATGACCTCTCTAGATATAGTTTTGTACAATGTCTGTGTATTTTAACTAAGTGATCATTTTTTATTTCGAATCCAGCAGTCAAAGTGGTTTGTTCCTTCTGTTGTTTGCATTGCCAGTCTGGGATTTCATCAGCTGTTGCATTGCCTTTCCACTTATTGGTATTGGATCTTCTCAGAGTGTCATTACTTTACATCTATACCAAAGGGATGGATGTGAGCCTTATTTTCATAGATGTTTTAAGATATCTACCTGTCAGAAACTGTACATGAAGGGAAGATTTTTAGGACCTGGTCTCTAACAGATTCCCCGTCCATAACAGGTAGCAGTTCAGATGAGAGAAGTAATAACATATGTTAGTTGGTTAATTTGGTCAAAGTGCTACACTATTTTAACAGAGTTGCAATTTGAATGGGATTCTTTAGTCTTTTGCTTGCTAACCTCAAGATCTATTCTCTGTTAGATAAAGATGACTTAAATTACTGTCATGCTAAAAGCTGCTTTAGACAGTATAAATGACATGGTTTAGTTATTGCAGGATTTCCTTCATGCTACACTGGAAGAGAAGGACCTCTTCTGGCTGCATGGCTGCTCTAGATCATCTTCAGTCACACGGTTATGTTGGTGCTCTTGAATTTCAGATGCAAATTGCTGCACCAAGCATCTTCTCCTGCAGGGATATCTTTTGATCCTTGTACTCCAACTAAGCCTAGCTACACTCGCAGTGCCAGCCTTCCTGCTGAAAGCCATTTGGTGACCTGTGCAAATCCTGCTAAAGTTTCCTGCAAGAAACAGTTGGAGTGTCTGGCACAGCTCTATTCATCCTGTATAGCAGGTGAGGACACAGAAGATGTGAAACTGACCTTTCTTTGAGTTTTGAACTTGCATGTGTGTTGTGAGAGTGAGATAGATGGGAAGTGGAAGCTGTGGGATAGTTATAGTGTAGAAACAAATGACATCTGGAAAAAGAAAGTAAGCCAATACTGTTATTTAAATAAATGAATACTTGGCAAAAGTGTGGGGAAGGAGGTGAGCCTGATGCAGTACTCTGAGCTGCAGTAGACTGAAGTTGTATGTCCCATATGAAACCAGACTGTTCCCTAACACATCTTTCCCATGCTGATCTACACTGTATCACACTATCATGTTGTGGGGAGACAATTCTTTGCTGGCTACCACAGAGCAGGAATCTACCTTTTTACCTTTGTTTATCAAAGCAGGACAGTATTGAGTAATCCACCTTTAACATCTCAATTACTCTCTCCTAGAAAACCTGGTACCAAATATTTTTCTGGAACTGTTTTTCGTTCTGCAACTGTTGACATCTAAAGGCACTTCTACTGCAGAAGATGGGGATAGTGACCCTGAAATCAGTGAAAGAAATAGAGGTAAGCAGTAGTAAAGAAGGGAAAGAATCTTGCTTCCATAGAATGAGAAAGTGTTGTAGACTAGCTTGGGCAGTTATTCTTAAATTACATAAAAATGCCTTATTACCACTGTGGGACTCATCTGAGATGCTGACAAAAGTCATGCATGTATGGGAAGTGCTTCCACAGTATGATAGTGGGGTTGCTAGTTAGTTTGAATCTAGTTTTCTGTTATTGTGCGAGATTTGCTGTAGCTACTTCTATCACTGACTTTTAGAGGGAAGGACAAATGTGCTTGAGTTGCTTCTCTATTGATCCTACAACTCAAATGTGCTGTTGACCTGCTATGTGTTTATTAAGCTTTAGGTTTGGATCTGAGTGCATAGGATCCAGCTGTATTGTTGCATTTGGTTTTTGGCAAATTCAGCCTTAAGCTTGATGCAATTAGTACTTTGATATGGATAGTACAACCAAAAGAGTGGCTTTAGGATGAGACCCACCACACCCTCCTCCACCCCACATGCCTCAATTTGATTGACCTTTGTTTTGCTACTCTTTGATTCTTAGGGCTGAGATTAGGAACATGAAATCTTCAGCTATGGGAACACCATTTTATAATTGTTTTTAGTTGTTCTACTTTTCTTGTCCTGTATCTCCTTATTGTTGTTCAGAACATTGAGAAAGAGTCTTTTCTTTCCCACACAGCATTAAACACTTCAATTGCCTTTAGTATAGGAAGGATAGGGAATGGGAACTTCTGAAAATTGAACAGGAGTCTGGGAGATTATTTTTGGATATGTCAGTTCATACTTTCCTTAAAAGCTAATTGTCGGTCCTTTAGTTTGTAAATGGTAAAAGGTACTTTTGTTGTTGTCTCATGTTTCTTTTTTACTCTCAGATGTGTCAGGGAGACAGCATTTTGAAAGTGTGCACAACTGTGTTTATTTTGCTGTTCGAGTCTTGGATTATCAATATGAGTGAGTTGAATTCTTTTTTCATCTGCTTGTGTCTGCAGTTGTGTGTGGGACTAAGCAAATGTGCTTGGGTTGTAGAACTTTACCAGTTAAAGGCACAGAGTTGTTAATTTTTCAAAACATACAGCTTGACCTGGATTTGGATGGCTGTGGGTTTCCTTGCACTGATGTGTCCACTGAACTTTGTTGTAATTGTGCAAGAACTGGAGAGTCATGAGATGAGAATAACAAATACAGATACCAGTAAGATTTCCTGCTGGTACATGTCCTTTAGAACTCTTTTCTTGGCAGCATCATAAAATGTAAACATAAGTATTTCTTTAGAACTGCTTATGTGCTGTTTATGTCTGTCTGTCTCTCTGATCTTTATCCCCATTATCTTGGCAGAATTATTTCCCACTTAGAAAAGGGGATGCTGAAGCTTTTGGCCGAAAATGAGCGGATTGCATCGTTTTCTCCCACGTTGCACAAGAGGCTCAGGCAGGCTTATGAAAGCAGCACAGCTAAGGTAAAATTTGGCAGACCCCAAGTGACATTGCTTCAAGCCTTTGTGTTGTTGTTCCTTTATTTGCAATGGCTTTGATGTTTAATCTCATTCTTTATATTTCATCTTCTTGTGTTGTCTTTAGAAACTGCCTAAAAGTACTTTTTTCCTTGTCAGTGGGTGAGTGAGTTGCTGGGTCCAGTGATTGTTGGCTCTGAATCACTGCTGGCTAGCCTTGTGTTGTGCTCCAGGCCCTGACCTCAGCCAGAGACTTTGACAGGGTCAAATTTTGCTTTTGAAATTCTTACCTAATAAACATGGACCCCAGGAGAATGATTAGTTAGGTGCAATATCAGAAGGTAGTTTCAAAGATTTGGATTTTTTTCATACATATGGACTCTTTTTAGGCAAACAACATTTCACAGGAGACAATCCAGACTGGGAAAAATGGTTCCCTTGTGTAATCAACTGGGTTAGGGAACCAGTTTGGTTGGTGGGAATTGCATGGTAGAAATGTATTTTGTATCTCATTTCATCCATCTTTTAAAAATGGAAATTACTGTTATCAAAGAAAGGACAGTGTACTGAGATTGGGACTTGTCAGTAGCTGAGCTTTAAAGTTGTTAAAGTTGTAAATAAAGGTCTTGTTACTTGAAGAACAGTAAGGAGAAAGAGTAAAGTAACAGAAATTGCCAGCCAGGATCCTGAATTTTCTCAAGCCCTATATTGAAGGTATATTTCAACTGTTTGTGGGTACTGTATCAATACTGGTTGCAATCTGGCCAGCAGAGATTTAAGGGAACCAGATACTTTTTCTCTTAATGTTGAGTGATTCTGCTTCTGTAGCCTAGTGTAGATTGTAAAAGTTGGTGTTTGCTAGTAGTTAGCAATTGGGAAGTAACGTGTAGTAACAACTCAGCTAGTGATACTTGTTTCCTAACCTGCCTCTTCCCCACTTTTTTTCTTGGTCTCAGATTGTTTAGAGACTTCCATTAGCTTAATGACTGCCTTTATATTTTTAACAGGTGTCTCTCCTGCTGCCATGCTCTGTACAGTCTGTTTCTTTTCAGCCAGAAACTGATAATCGCTCGAACTTTCCCAGTGACAGAGCATTTCACATATTTAAGAAACAAAGGTAAGTTTCTCCTACTGTTCCTGAATGCTCAAGGGTATAACCTTTGCATGATTGTGACTAAAAGATATTAAGAATGTCTCATGTATGCTACATGCTGTAGAAAAAAATCTTGAATTTTTTTCTCTAATTAAATGAAAAAAAGTCTCTGTCCATATTGACTGCAGGAACTAAATGGTTAATGTCTTTAGAGAAGAACAGCCTAATTCTTCAGGAGTTATTGAGACTTCTGATAATGCCAGTACAGTGTGTCACCCCACTGGATTGCTTCTGCATATATATCTGGTATGCTTTTATTCTTCCTGCTGCCTCCCTCCATGCTTGCAGCGACAGGGGGCAAAATGACAAGTTGTCTTGGTCCTTTTCTTTTTCTCATAGGTATTACTACATGTGGCTTATTCTTTGCTGCCTCTCAGTCTTCACTATGTCTGTCTGGTAATGGCTGTTTTGGTCATTCCATCATAGATTGGGCATAACAAGCTTAAGCACTTGCTGTCAAAGACATGGAAAATGGAAACTCACTGAAGTACTGCTAACATTTATGAGTTTTTCAAAGGTATCTGAATGATTGGAGGCTGGAGTTACTTAATCTGAGGTAGATTCTTGCTGGGAAGCTTTGGAACAATTAATGCTCTGTTGTTGCTTCAAATTTTGAAGAGTAGGAATTCATTCCCTTAAATATCTTGGTTCACAGGGATATATTTTATGAACTTCTGCGTGAATGGGAGGATAACAATGAGAAAACTGGCTGGGACTTTGAGAGAGTTCTGGGCAACAAGATCAGGTAGGAGTCTTAAGCAACTTCAGCTATCTCTTTAATGTAGCTGAATTGCTGGTGAATCATGCTGCACTTGGCATCCTTAGTTCCATGTCCTGCCTGATGTTCTGCACTACTCTGCAGGGTGCTGTGGGCTGCTTGGAAAAAGCTGCCCATGTACACTTGCTTCTGAATTGAAAGGAATCAACCTTTACCTTAAAGAAACAAGCCATAAGTGGCAGAGGCCTAATTTGTTCAATTCTGATGTTGATCTTTCCCTTTCATAATCACAGAAATGTTCAGACAATACACTGGTTTACTCTCAAAACCAGTGTATTGTCTGAACATTGTTATTATATACACTTGTGTGTGCATATCATGTTTTCCATGTCAGGCTCCTCTTAAGTGAGGAGAAGTGTGTTATATGTTCAGACGCTGTTCACTCTTCTAATTATTTCAGGGGGTCTAGTGCATTGGTTCTGAAAACAAGACAACTGTGTGTCTTTCTGTGGAGAGCAGACTGTTTTATTCATTTATTGCTTTATCAAAATGCAATATATATAAAGAAACTATTATAGCATTGAAAGCAGTTGCCTTGTGGGTCTCTGTGTTAATCTCAACCACCAGACTACTTAAGTAATGTGTATGTAGGTGGCATTTCACCACAAGAGCAAAACAAGGGTGAGGCTTAAACTGACAAATTTTAGGGCATCAGAAGTAGCACTATTGCTGTTTCCTTAATTCATCTATGTGGAAACTCAACTTACTGTTCTGGGCAGGGAAGAGTGGGAACTGAATGAGTTTATTCTTTTTTCTAAATAACAACATTATTGAAGAAAAGGAAGAGATTCTTTTTCTCTCTAGAGCTGTGTTTGCTCTGCAGGTGCTCAGGGAGAATTTTTGTTTCCATGTCAGCAGCAGGTGGGGCTCAGTGCCTGGGAAAATGGGTTATAAATATATTGCTTTTTTTCAATGACCTTTGGAGATTGCTTTCTTAAAAGTAGGGTTTTTTATCCTTTTGGTATAGTTTGAGGTTAGAACACTGTTTTTTATACCACAAAGTTCCAGTCAGAATCTGATCGTGTTTTGCTTTACAGGGCCATGATGGCTCACCTGTCTGCAACCTGCAACCACAGCCATTTTGCCAGGCTCTTTCAGAAACAGCTTATCCAGGTAAATGACTTGGGTTGTTTAATGACTGTATACATCACAGTGGATTTGATCCTTCCTTGGCCTGAGAACACAAGCCATGTCTTGTGAGCTTCTTTGAGATTTTCCTATTGAAACATTTTTTGGGAGAGACAAGTTTTCAGAATGGGAATTTCTTTCCTTCTTCAGAAATAATCAGTGATAAATTACCAATGAAGTCTCTTTAAATGAGGAATAAGGCACACTGAGAACATAATGAGTTGTAAGCATTCATTCTTCATGGTTAATTACTTTGTCCTTCTAATTTTAGTACAGTTATAGTTTCTGGAAATTTTAGGGATGTATTTTGGCATTTGTCAAGTGCAGAGGTTCCTAGTTGTGTTTGTTAGCAGCATGAGTGCAAAAAATCTGTGTAACAGTCAACAGGCTGGTTTTTGGTACAGTATTGCTGTTGTAATTTGGTGAGGGGTGGGGGGTTGGCCAATTTCAAGCATCATCTCACTTCATTGTAAGTAGATAAATGAAGAAGAAGATTTGCTGTATTCTCTGTAGACTTGTGGCTTATTGGTGGGCTCCTTTTGGAGAGCAAAACAGCCAGAGAGCCTCACCTTGAGTGTTAGCTCAAACCCATTGCCAGGAAGTTGCAAGCTGTTGGAATGTTGTATATTCCTTTAGTGTCAAGTCTGAGTTTGCATCAGTGACCTGTGTGATTGTATGGATGTGTTAATGGAAATTGTGGGAAAGAGGTAAGATTAACCTTGTTGCATCAATAGGGTTTAATTAGTCATAGGTGCTGTATTTCTCCTTTGTATCTGTGCCTTCTTAATGAAGACTGCAGGATTTCACAAGGGTAGCCAAAAATCTAAATGGATCTAAACTGGTGTCTTCAATGGATCCAATGTGTCTGTCTGGGAAATGATTTGCAGACTCTTGTGTGGATTATGATGCTCTTGCAGAAATGAACCGAGACTGAGGACTTGTGTCAAGGTCTGGTAATTTAAAGGTAGAGAAGTGTAGCAAGATATTCCTTTGGGGAGGTGCCCCCAGAACATGGGCTCTGTTTGGAATAAATGTACCTAGTAGTTGCTCACTTGATAGACATGCTTAAGTGTTGCTTCTTATTATTATACTCTCTCTCATTAAAACTATCATGTCTTAGATGTAGAGGTATGCAGTCAACTTAGATATAGGGATATGCAGTCAGCTTTTCCTGTTGCTGGGTATTTGCTAGGTTATGTCTGAAGTGCTGTGTCCAGTCTTGGGCTCACCAGCACAAGGAAAGAAAGGTACAGACTTACTAGAGCAAGTCCAGCTCAGGGCTTTGTAAATGATTGAGGCACCAAGCATTTTTTGTATGAGGAAAAAAAGCTGAGCTGAGACCTGAGAATATTCAGCCTGGAGAAGAGAAGGCTCCAGGTTGCCTTAGGGCTGTTATAAATACCTGCTGGGAGGGAATGAAGAAGAGGGAGTGAAATTTTTCTCAGTAGTATTCACTGACAGGTCAGGAGGTGACCCTGACTGAACAAGAGGGTTGGATTAGATGATCCAAGAGACCCCTTCTTAACAGTTCTGCAGTTCTGTAATTTTTTGAGTGTTGAGTTGTATCTGTGTGTTTGAGGCAGTGGGGCATTAATTTTTAAATGTTTTTTAACTCTGTGGAAGTTCAGGAAAACCTGCTCTGGGAACATGTAGTGCAGCATCATGATCCTTGGAGGCTGAGCTAAAGATCCTACTGAGTGGTTCATGAAGATTGTGAGAGTGATAGGCATTCTCTCCACAAATCCCTGTGTAGTCTGCTAGGTATGCCCTAGTTAGACATGTGAGATTGGAATTCCATCTCACAAGACCTCTAGACTGTGTATGGCCAAGGTGGGTAGCATGTTTTGGCATGGGGAAGAGTTGTTCTGTATGTTCCTGGGCCCCAGGAAAGACCATGCATGGATTACTCCAAAAGCAGTCTTGTGAAGAAGGGATAATATGCTGGGTGGGAGATGGAGGGAAATGATGCCTTGTTACAAATAATCCACCTCGCTACTCTTTCTGTCTCCTAAAGATGTGCAAAGGTCCTGTCGGTGGTGGTGCAAGCTGTGGAGACACCCCAGACCAGGATGTCCTTAATATGCTGGGCTCTGATAATCTGAGCCGTCTGAAGAGGCTGCAGGAGAGATTTATTGTTTCTCAGAGCATCAGAGGGCCTTGTCCACCCCCTTCATTCCCAGGGTGCCAACAATTCTTCAGGGACTTCATCCTCAGTGCTGGAAGGTGAGTGGCCTGGGCTTGCTGTTCCCTCTGAAATGTGTGGGCAGTGGAAGCACCAGCATGTTTCTCTTGCAGCAGGGAGTTATCCAGAAAGTTTGGGACTAGATGATATGGTAATGATTTTTCTGCTATAAACCCATAGTATTTTTTTGGAGCTGTCAGCATTTCCCAGTGCCAAGGCATGCAGTGCTACCTAGCAAGGACACTGGACTGGACAAATGCTTCTTGTGTGATAGTGCATGAAGCTAAAGTGTACAGAATGAAGCCAGGTTGTTTTGTTTAATAAGTTTTTCACAATTCACAGCACGGGGGAATTATAATTTATGTGAAATTTTTATCTTAAATTCAGTTATTTTATAGATTCCTCATTTGGCAGATTGATTTTATTATCCTTATGCTGAGACTTGTTACATAGCATCTCTGAAAAAGTACAAAAGAAGAGTGGAAATGAAGGTGGTCAGCCAGTCCTAAGTCTTCTATCTTGCTTTCTTGTCTGTCATTGTGTTATGTTGTATGTCTGCTGATTGTTACAACTCACAAGACAAGCTCAAAATTCTGCAGTGTGTTAGTTGAGGTTTTACTGCTGTTTTCAGCTCAGTCTGACTCATCATGATCTTTTGCTGAAGTTACCAGTTCAATCAGCACCTGATGGACAGTCTGTGCCTGAAGATACTTGAACTGAATGGTCTTACTCTGGTGGAGCACGAGCACAGTGATGGGGAAGCAGATATGGAGGAACAGGTAGGTTTGCTTTGTGCAAACGCATCTGTCAGGAATTTCTCTGAGCTGTTCCAGTAGTCAAACAATTACTGGCTTGATTGTAAATTGCTTGGAGCTTTCACCACAGTTTTTACAGGACAAGAGCTTTGTCATTTGGTTTTGTCATAACTCTGCAATTTGCTTATTTGTCTGAACCCCTTACCTGCATGCTTCAGGGTGCTTCATGGAACTGTCATAAGTGCAGAATAGTGTGAAAGTGAAAGCCTCCTCTTTAGGTTGTTATAACCTGTGTTAGATCAATGAAATAACCACATGCAGTTGTGGCACTCCATTGCAATAAGTTCCTTGTTACTTTTCCATATAGAAAGATTTTAGTCACATTGAATTTGTAGATATATCTGTTAATAGGTGTGCAGGTGTTTCTTCACTCAGGTCTGCATATCAGAGGTGTCACAGCTTATAGTCTTTTAGCAAAGTAGCAGCCAAAGGTTGATGGAGACTTGCAGAGTAGTAGTGCTATAAAGGAGGCAATGTGAGATCAGCTCTGCCTCTCATTGACTCCAAAGTTCTTAATGCATAGATACGATTGAGCAGCTGCTTGTCTTAGAAAGCTTCTGAATAATTCCCTCTTGTGAAGAGGTGAAGCAATGGAGACAGAAGCAATTTAAAATACTTGATAAATATGCATTTTGGAAACTTACCTTTACAAAAAGCAGAGGTGAAGCTATGTGGCCCTTTTAGATGAAAGGAGTGGAGGTTTAGCATAGACATTTGCTTTGCCAGTGTGGGCTAGCATAGCTCCAGCTCCCTTTTCTTCATTTTAGGATGAAAAGAAGCGTTTCACCGTGGCTCTGTTGAGTCTCCGACTCCTCGCCAAGTTCCTGGGGTTCCTTGTTTTCCTGCCCTATCGCACTGCGGAGCAGCCAACCAGAGACCTGCAAGATTCCGCGCTGGCACTGAGAAACCAAGTAAGGAAGAGCACTGCCTTTTGCTGGACAGGCACTTCTTCTAGCTCAGGGAGCATTGTGGTTGGTCATGCTCTTTCAAAGCGAGCCAGTGTTCCTGGGATGATGTTGTGTGGTCCTGTGTCCCTGCTGCATATTCTGGGGTTGGGAACAAAGGAAAAAGGAATTTGTGTAATCTCGAAAAGAGGGAGTAATGCACCAGTGGTAAGGTAGTCAGTCTTCTGTTATTTCTGCTAATCTGGGTCTGTCATACCAGAAATTTCACCTAGCTAAGACAGCTTGTATTGATAGTGTAAAATCCAGCTACCAGAACTGGTTGTGTTAGTTTTACACCCATCTCCCAGCAGTGTGCCACCGAACGGAAGCAATAGACCTTGACTCCATTTTGTATGTAGTCAGGCTTTTAGCCTTGCTTTTGAAATTTCCAGTGGGACCTTTGGTTGCAGTAATAGTTTGGTTTTTACCTCTGGTCATGTGCAAAGAAGTGTTTTCATTAGCCAGAAGTCACCAGTACAGAAGATGAAATCCTGGAAAGAAAAGTCAAGATATAGACAAAAGTTTTCTATAAGTAGCAGAAGATAACTTCAAGCTGCTGGTTTAACTTCTCTTGTCCTTTAAGACCCTGCCTGTACTGGATATATTAAAGCTTCTGAGACAATCTATTCGGGATCAACGTTCTATCCTCACTATTCCTTGGATTGTGGAGTACCTTTCCCTTGTGGATCATGTTGCTCCTTTCCTTGATTATTACAGGAAAGTGTTTAGTCTCTTGCTGCAGGTATACAGGTAAGAGCTTGGGAAAATATATCTGTAAAGAACTTTCCGGTGAATGTTTGATTTTTCTTTTTTTTTTTTTTTTGTGGTGCAAATCGTGAATACTTTTTATCTTACATAAAGCTGCAAAGAGAACACAGCCTAAACTTGGGGATTAATACTTGATTCAAATTTGTGTTTTTTATTAGGTAAACAAAATCTTTAAATCCCACTTGATCACTCTACATCTGCAGCTGTGATTGACCTTCAAGCTGCAGCTTGAATTTTGACCTTAAACCGACAAGGTTTCCAATGCCTAAATAATTTTCTAGTTTTCTTTCCTATATACATGAGGAAAATTTGAAGCACATTCTAGAGAATGGCTTGTCTAGTGTAAACTTAAGACAGGGTGTTATGCAGGTACATACAAAAAAGGCAGACATGCAAGGAATGTGTTCATGGTATATAGATAGTGTAATTGGTAAGTGAATGGTTTGGGAATGTTTTCCTTAATGAAAATTAAGCTGCTGAAAACTGACACTCTGTCTTGCTACTTCTGCTGCATGGCAGGTTAATGGTCCTTTCTGAAGACAAGGAGATGAGTTTCCTGAACAAGCTGCTGATCCTTGCAGTTCTGGGTTGGCTTTTTCAGGTAGAGTCTCCTCTGTGCATGTAACTCTTCTCTGAAGAAAAAGCAGGGCACAGAACTCAATACAAAATAGTACTGAAATGAATTAAAACAATTCAATACAGTAGTTTGTTGTTTTATCATGGGTTTCCTACCCTGTTGTGAGGTTTAAAGAATAACTGTATTTTAGTGGAGAATTATTTTCCTTTAGTGGAATTGTGTGAAGCAACAATTTTTTCCCCAATAGGAATTGCAATTGCATCTGAAATACATTCTGTATTTACTAATCTGCAACCTTGCAAGAAAATTGACAGCTGATTCCTGTTAGACCTGGAAGCTCTTGTCACAAAGATGGTGTGCTAGCTGTCAGCCTTGAATTACTGAGGAATTTATTGGATAGAGGGATGGTGTATGATGAAATTTTAAAATTCTTTTGTGCCTCCAGTTGGAAGCAAGGTAATTACTTAGCAGGAACCTGTTGGAAATGTGGAAGATGCTGTATGGGGAAGATAAGAAAGGTGCCTTTTGTTACTGTGATTAAAATAAGTCTTTAATTTTATGGAAAGTTCTCCTCAGGGCAAGAAGATTTTTAGTGCTAGGGGTCATTTTTTGTGGGTGGCAGGGTGGTGAGATTTTACTGTCCTGTTATCAGAAATAGTGGAAGTTACTGTCTGCATTTTGGGTTGCAGCTGCTGGGTTTTCTGTTTCAGGTTCCATCAGTTCCTGAAGAATTGTTTTTTACTGCTGACGACAGGCAGGAGAGATTTGTGATGGACGCTGTGACACCTGCTCAGGCTCTGGTGAGTTAGTGCAGCAGCATGTCTTCTGAATCAGTGAGGGAAGATGGACCTACCACTTCCTCAGGAGCTGTAAGATTTGATCAGGAACTTGCCTTCAGGAAGTTATGGAGGCCAATGGATGTGGTGCCCAGTTTGGCCAAGTGCCTCAATTGCATCTGTGTTATGGGTTGTGAACTCTGTGTTGCAGCTCTGGGTTTTCTGTCAGGCAGGAGCCATCTCATCTGCTGCAATAATTTGCAGAACAGGTGCCAAGTTGTGCTGGAGGATGAGATGCTGTTTTCCTGCAAGGTGAGCTGACAAAACTGTAGCTCTTCCCTGAAATAAGCAAAAGTAATGGTGAACAGAAATAGAATGATGGGACTGTAGAGCAAGGTTGCTGTTTGTGAGATGACCTGTTTTCCAGTGTCATGATAAAGGGTGACTGAACTGAAAATGCTATGAGCAAGCAGGAAAGGAGGTGAGGGTATGGCATGTGTGATGTTTCAGATAATTCCTAGACATGCAAGGGGATATATAGTATTCCATGGGAAAGTGGTGTAGATGCTAAGATACATTTCCTTGGTGGATGTGATCTGAAATTCCTGTTCCTCCCATGGCCCTGCATGTGCTGTGTTAATACTGAAGTGACATTTCTCCCTGGCATGGTGTTCCATGGGTGAAGGCACTTGTGGAGGTGTAATGCATAGCAGATGTGCCTCATTTATTTTCCTCCATGGATAGGTTTCTCCCTTATGAGTAGAGGCTGTGGCAGCAGTCCTGGTTCCTGTCTTTAATGCAGCTTTCAGCTGGGCTTTGATAGTGATCAGGGGCAAAGGCTGAGCTAGGCTAATAAATGAAGAGCAGCTCATTCTGTGTTACGGGGACTGAACACGTGGACTGCAAAGTTCATTATTTTACTGTGTGTTTGGAATCCAGCTATTGTTTTCATGGAAAGGTAGCCCTGAAACCTGCCTGTGACTGCATGTATGGGATTTCTGACTTGAAGACTGTTTATTTTGTACTGTATCCTTTCAGCATTTCCTTCATTTTCTCACCAGGACTTTGTACCCTTGGTGGATCAGCAGTTACTTTATACCTGCTGCCCCTATCTTGGTGAGTATTTTACTTATTTTTACTATATACATAAAATATATTAGTATGTATTTACTTTTATTTAGTCAGTTGTTTATATTTGTTGTTTGGTACTGAGTCCTTGGATCACCTTTCTTACTCCTCTTCACAACGTAAGATCCCAGTTGTATGTGCAAGAACCTTGATAAGAAGCTGTATTGCAGAAGCTCCTGCAGCTGTGGATAGTATCTGCTAAAGCTGAGGGAGGGAGATTACCTAGTCAGGATAGTTGATCCACAGAGCCTGAATCCAGAGGGACAGGGCAAGCCACCCCTTACAAGCTGTAAGGAAGCATTACAACAACACAGCTTTTCTATCCTAGGTGTAGGAAGAGGAGTTTGTGCTGCAAGAAATGTCTTGATCCTTGAGCAGATTTTTGCTGCCAGGCAGAGGGGAAAAATCTTTTTGTGCCCTGGTGTTTTGTCAGTTTGTTTGAGATAGCTTTTTCATGGGATCTGTCTGCCAACGGTAAAATTCCTCTCTATAGACAATAGAGTCCCAGATGGGAAGATGGTGCTCTTCTTCCTGAGGCTTAGTAGGGAAACTGTATGTTAAACCTCTATCACAAACTGTATGTTAAACCTCTATCACAAACCGTATGTTAAACTAGTCTCACAAAATCTTCTAGAGGCGAATAAGTTGTCCAGCTTTTCCGCCAGGATTTGCTCCTGTCTCTTGGAATTTTGTTTAACTGCTCCCCTTGTTGTCCTTGTAGACTTTACAGTTCCTGCTTGCCACGCTAAAAAGGAACGCACAAAAATAACTGGTCCCTCATCCTTCTGAACAAGTCCCATCTGCTAGGGGGCTTTTCAGAAGCTTCCTCTTCAGAGCCTCGCTGTGCCCTGCCAGTTATACGTGTGGGTTGCCCCCTCTGCTTCAATGAAGCTTCTGCTTTTGTAGAAGCTGAGAGAATCTGCTCTGGGAACAGGACTGGAGAAGTGCAAGTTTCTTTCTTGAGTTTTGGGATTAGTTTTTCTCCTTTCTTATGGGGTTGATGATTGCTTTTGCATGTGTTCCTGTACAGGTGAGCTGCGTAAACTACTTGCCTCTTTTGTGGCTGGTAGTGGAGGCAAGAATGGCGGTTTTATGAGGAAAATCACTCCCACAGCCGCAGAGTCCTTAGCCCCCAAGGCTTCTGTCACGCAGCGGAAGCTGCAGGTAATGAAATTAGGGAGTCACAAGGGGGAAAGGGGCAGGAGAAATTTGCTTGTGTGAGTGCAGGGTTATACAGTGGTCTCTTAATGCCAGGGAACATTGTGTTTAACAGTCAGGTATCTTCACTCCCTGTTTTTCTGTTACAGTCATGTGGCTGGGATATGGTGTGGGTGCTGAAATCCAGATAACGTCAGTAAACGTTCTTGCAGTTGGAACAACTAGTCTTATTTATCTGTTTCCCTCTTATTTAACATAAAATGTTGGTATGTTTCTCATACTTTGTTTTGGTTAGATTGTAGCCATGCTTTCCACTGAGAGAAGGACATGCGTAGGAGCCTAGAGGATTATCAGCCTCTAATTAAAAGGGCTTGTTCTTCCCAAAACAAGCTCTGTGTGGTGACTCACTACTAGTAGACACTGTCAGAACTCTCCCATTCCCCTTTACAGGTCTTTTGTAGCTTCAGAAACCCTGATAATAAGCTTTAAGTGATTAGAAGGGAATAGGGGATGATGAATGCTACAGTAGCAGAAAGTTCTAGTGGAGGCAAACTGTCTTTTAGTAGATCTCCAGAAGGTAGTTCTGTCCATTCCTGTGCTGGTGAGAGGAGGGTGGAGTGCTCTAATCAATTGTAGTGCTTTCTTTTGAACAGGTAGATTTGGAACAGGCTTTCTTCCACAACCAGCCTCCTTCCCTACGGAGGACAGTGGAATTTGTGGCAGAGAGGGTGGGATCCAACTGTGTGAAGCACATCAAGTAAGTGTTGGTCACCTGTCCTGTGACTTAAAAAGTAACTTTACATTATAATTAGACAAAGAGTTGATCCTTTAAACATGTGTGTATGGGGGAAAGAAGCTTCCATGGGGGTGTGCTGTGTAGCAGAACACCAAGGCTGTGCAGGACTGACCAGCAACATCTGCTGTTGTAGAGGGGAATTTGTGAAGGACTGTAGAGAGGAGGGGGATACATCTGTGGGACACTTTGTATGTGAATGCAGTGCAGCATTGAGACTTTTCAGCCTGTTCAGAGCATTCTTGCTAATGATAGGAAAATCTCTTATCAGAAATGACCTCTGGAGGTCACTTGATCCAAACTCCTGCTCAAAGCAGGCCCAGCTTTCAAGTTAGGTCAGGTTTATTAGCACCTTTTCCAGTTGGAAAAGTTTCCATCTTTAAAGGATGAGGATTCAGCCACCTCTTTCTACCATGGTCCAATGCTCAGTTTTCCCAGGCTTTGTGAATAATGTTTCTTGTATCCTGTCATAATAGCTATCCATTGTTCCAGCTTGTGGATATTCCTGTCAATCTTTAGCAGTGCTCTTCCTGGAAGTCTTGTTCTGTCTTCTCTGTAAATTTCCTTCTCCCTTCAGCTTTTTCTTGTCTCCAGGCTAGGTGAAACTGACTCCTCCTTGTAGGTGTGTGCTCTAGCACCCCAGCTATTTTAATAATTTTTTTCTTTTCTCCTGCAGTTACTCAAATTGTCAATGGCTTTCTTGTCCTGAGGTCCCAAAGCTGGACACAATACTCCAGATGCAGCCTCCCAGTGATGAGGGAAGCAGTAACTTCCCTTGACTTGCTGGCTGCACTATTGCTATTGTCAGCCCAGTATAAGGTTGGCTTTCTGTGGACACTCCTAACTCCCTTCCCTTGTTGTGGGAACCCCAGGTCCTTTCTGCAGAGCTGCTCTGTAGCCAGTAGACCCCAGCCTGTACAGATGCACAGTCAGTCCCATTTCTCCCTCTTTTCACAGCCCTCCTGTGTGGTGGCCCTGCCCTCCAGCTCATGAGCTTGCTCAGTTTGCACTGATCTTGTCAAGCTTGCTGAAGGCATTAAATATTATCAGCCCCAAGGAATGGTGATTTCAGTGGCTGCTGCTGACATCTTTGAGCTTCTGAGCACTATCGATTGAGCGTGCAAGGGTAATGCTGCCAGAAAGGAGACCTGTGACCAAAAAAGTTTGTGGTAAAACCTAAAGACTTTTGACTCTTGAATCTTAGTACTGTTTTGATGTCTTCATTGCTGTTGTCTTCCATACACACAGAACAAGGAGATGATATAGATGATACAGCATGACTGACTTGCTTTTAGCAGAGTGACTTATAGCATTTGAGATGGGTATCCCCCTAACCTGGGGAGAGGAGATGGTGCACTTAGTGTGCACTGTTTCTTGTATTGATTTCAATCTGCCTGATTGTTCTTTGTTTTGTTGCAGGGCAACACTGGTAGCAGAGCTAGTTCAAAGGGCTGAAGCCATGTTGCAAGATAAAGTGAAGGAGGAGGATGTTAATAATGACAAACTGCTTGAAGAGGTGTGCACTCATCTGTATGAGGAAGGGGCCCAGGCACTCATCAAAGGCAGAGAGTAAGGAGGAGAAGTTATTTGAACATGTGCCTTCCTATCTCTTCTTACTGCAGAATCTATAAGCCTAATTTAGCTTGACCTGTCATGCTCAGGTTCTGGTAATTATAAACCATGCCCTCTGCTCTTCTTATGGTGAGTGTCTGCTGTGCTCCAGCCAGTTAATACTGTGTTTGTAGAAAGGAATAAAGGTGCTGTGTGTCCCTCTGCTCCAAACAGACATCCGCTGCAGCTATTGTATTTCTCCTCTTTGGAAAATTGATATTGCAGCTTAGTTGCTTGTAATTACCCTTTCCTTGTCTTGTTCTTTTAGTCTGATTTATTGCATTGCTACATAATGAACCTCTGAGTGTTGTCCAAGAACCTGGACTAACCCCGTGGCACACTTTCTTCCTTTTCTTGTAGATTTTGCAAAAAAAAAGGTCCTGAGGCAGTAAGAGTGTTGTTGCCAGAAGAGACATCTGCAGCAGTATGTATTTTCCCTAAAACTTATTAAAAGCCTTGACTTTAAGTCTGGATCATTACCATTTTTCCATTGCTGCTTCACTTATCCCTGAATAGCTCAGGTAAAGAAAATCTATTGATGCCCTCATGGGAGGACTGAGTGATAGCTAAGAAGAGTCACTTCTACTGGGCTGCCTTGCATATTGTGGGTAAAGTGATACTCCAGCTCATAGCTGACTAATGAGGCTAGAATGTTATAGAGATTGCATTTATCTTGCAATGATAATGCATTGGTTTTAGCATCAACTTCCACAAAAAGTTGATGAGGTTTTTGGAAAATCAAAATGCCTCAGTTGTATTGCTCAAACCAGCTGTTTCCATAGAGGAGGTGGTGTTCAGTTTAATTGTTGCATGCCAAAATTAAGCTTTTTCCTCTAGACTTCCTTCTGAATTTTCACTGACTGCAGTGCTGTGGCTGATAGTAAATCTCCAATGATTTGTTATCCTCCCTGTAAAGGTTTTAAGTAGTGCAGAAAACATTGCGGTGGAGCTGGCTACCGAGAGAGCCTGTGGCTGGCTCTCTGCCAACATTGCAGGTGAGTGTTTTTACCTTGAGCTGGAGCTTCTAACCTGTGCATTGTGTTCTTTTTTTTCTGAGATCAAGGGACAGACAGTGTTATAAAGTACTTGGTCCTATTCATTTTTTGGTTTTTTTTTTTTTAGTGTAAAGTATGCCGTTGCTCTGTTCCTCCTTGTTTAGGAGGAATTATAATTATTTCTAGCTCTAAGAACCTTCATTGGGGATCTTTTGAACTTGGCCCATGGTAGTGATTTTTAGTTATGGAGTCTTGTAGGATGATGAGAGTAAATGTTGTGGAAATGCTTCTGGAAATGTCATCTAGGCTGAAGTTGTCTTAGCACTTCCAATGTGTACAGACAACTGCTCTCTCAAAAGATCTTATGGTCACATGTACAGAGTGCCTCTGAAATCTCCTGTAAAACAGACACTTCTTGGACTGGGTGCATTTTCTGCAGGCTGAAGGCAAATGTAGTCTTTTTATTCTGTAATTCTGCACTGGCAACTCTTCAGAATCTCTGAAAACCCATTTTTTCAAGAGGTTGGGCCAAAAGCCTGGGGAGGAATGTCCAAGTACCATTTACAGCCACAGGAGTTTAGTGTTTTGGATGCTGATCAAAATGTATTTTGGTAGAAGATATATGGTTTTTATGGGCACAGTGGTTGAACTAGCATGATCACACTGAATCAGCTTTCTACTTTGGCATTGCCTTCTGGCTTAGGTACTGTGTTTGTTAAACCCATGGAAATATTTTTATGGGAAGTGAGATGAGTTCCAGTTGTACCTGGCAGTGATGAGTGGCTGTCTTCTACAGTTGTGGATTAGTATACCCTCTCCAGATTTGCCTCTGCACATTAAATATAGTAGGAGGTCAGAGAGAGGGAGTTGAAAATGTACGCTGTGGCCCTTGGAATGAAAGGCTAAGAGTGTTTGGAAATGATTCTCTGCTTCAGTGGAGAAAGAAACTGAAGCAGACAGGATTTGTTCTCTGTTCTCTATAGCACTTATCAAAAGGGAAGTGAAGGCAACCTTCAACAGAATGCTGAAAGTCCCAGGATTTCCCTTGCCAGGCGAGGATGCTCTTGAGTTGAGAAGGGACTGTCCTCCAGGCTGTCAGCACTGTGCTCCATTTCCCTCCCAGATCATCAATGAGATTAAGGTACGTGGTATTCACTTCCTGGCTTGCCTTTCTGTTTTTCACATTGGTGTTTTTGTGGTTTGTTTTTGTTGCTGCTTTGTAGGGTTTTCTTTGATTGTTTGGTGGGTTTTTTAAGAGAATGTTCTGGTTCTGAGGAGCTGGCTGTGGGGAGTGCTCAGGAAGCATGATGAAAAGTTCTCAGGTTTTTTCCAACCCCTGCTTGCTGTGTCTATATCAGAGTTCCCTGCTAGGAGTGCTGTCTCAGATACAGGATTTCTGGTAGCATGGCAGTGTGGCCTTTTTGACATGAGTAGGATGGAAACCACAGTGCAGACCCCATGGTATTGTGTGCAATTTCACATTCATTTAACGTATGCACCCATAAGGAAAAGAATTCTGAACACCTTGCCTTTTACTGTTGCGTGTTCTGACTGTGTTTTTTGCAGCTGTTTGTCTGCTTGACAGACAAGTAATGCTGGTTATCACTGTCATTGCTTTCCCAGCAGTTGTGTGAAAATGAGTTCACATCTTTTAATGCTTTCTTGCTTGTGCTAAAAAAAGGAAGGTAATTTGTATGAGGAAACCTCTGGGTTGGCACTGAAGCTTCCCTGACAATGTAAGAGGGGTCTGGATTTCTGTAGCACTTCTGCCCTGCACTGCTTGCTGTGCTGTGAAATTTGTTTAGAGCTTTCAGTGCTAGTACTTTTAAGAAATATGAATTTGTTGCCATCATTGAGTTTTACTTCGTAACATTAGTGAGAACTGTGCTAGAAAATGAGATCTTGGTAAGGTTGTAAGGTTCATAAGACAGCTTTACTCTGTCTTATGAAATGTATATATACTAACTTGGGTTCTGGTTTTAATGAGGACCCAAGAACTATTTATGAACTGCTGTGTCAGAAGTCTAAGGATCTGTTTGTGGAAGAGCAGGATACTAATGTGTGTGTTACTGTTGTCTTTCTCATCAAGGATGTTCTCTGTGTTGCTGTGGGCCCACGGGAGGAGGGTGAAGTGGTTGACTGCATGTGGCTGGAGTGCTTGCTGGGAAGGTTGAGTCAGACACTTCGATGCAGAAAGGTAAAAGATGTAAAAAAGCAGCATAAACTCCCTTTGAATCACTTTGGGCTGTCTTGATACCTGTAAAAATTTAATTTCTTTGCCTCACAGTTGAGTTCAGTTGAGAGGTTTTTATTTCAGCTCAAATGTGGCAATGTTGCACTGTATTTTTTTATACTGTGTATCTGCTTGTTACTTCAGTTTGCCTTTGTGAATCCCCTTTTCATATATGACCGTTTTGTCTTTCAGTCTTTAGTGGCCTCCTCATTACAGCTCTGTGCTTCTTGATGTAAATTGCCTGCTCTTCTTGGATATTTTTTATCCCTTGTGGAGCCCTGTTTTGTCCAGTCTGCTGTATGGGGGAAAAAAATACAACTTTTTTTTGTGTTTTCCAGTTTGTATGTCCCACATCGGAACAGCAGCTGGCCAAGTGCACAGTTGAGTTGGCGTCTTTGCTGGGTAAGTAAGTTATGATAAGCTATTTAAGACTGAAATCTGTTATTAGAGTTCTCTTAGATCCTTGAGGTCAGAGATATAAGTGTTAAGAGCTCATGGATATTTAATTCTCTTTGGTGCCACTGAGTCTGAAGATTTTTTTCTGTCAGTTTGGGTGGTTACTCTTATTCCCATTTACATTCTGCAAAACAGAGTTGTTCAGTGACTAACCATCCCTCTGATCTGTTTCACATCTGTTGTTTTTTATTTATTGACACCGTCAATTAAATATGGGATATGTTTTCCAGTATTTCTGCCTCTGAAAAATTGTGGTGGAGTTTGGGCTTTTTTGACTAAAAGTAAGGGCCTTTTCCATTAAATTATGTTTTTATGACTTTTTTTAGGAAAAGAATGGAAGTAATTTTTTTTTTTTTTGTATTATGACTCCTGTGAACATTTTCAGTCTGTTTTTTTCTCTTGCTCTGATATGTAAACACAGTTTTTCTCTGAGCAGGAGCTTGTGATCTCAACACAGATGTGTTCTTCACAGGCAGCCTTCTAATTTTGTGGGTTTAGAATCAGCTTTAGAAGTTTTATACATAATTTGTCTTTCCAGAAGGCAGTTCACATCTGAATATTGTGAAATTTATTCTGGGAGCAGCAGTGTCAACCTGTCCCATTCCATTAGACTGTACCAAGGAAGAACTGGTATCTTCCTTCTGTTTATGTTCATTTGCAGTTAAGCACTGTTCAGTTTTGCTTTCACTTGTGTGAAGTCATGTAACTCTGCCTAGAGTCTAAACTATGGACAACTCTTCAGTCTGTCTATAGACTTAAATGTTTAACTGTGCTACTCTTCTCTCCTTTGCAGTAACACCTGGGTTCTCTTTGACTAAATATTAGGCTGACTTTCAGGACTTGGGCTATATTCCAACCAATTGGTGTTCTTTGTCTGAGGAATAGAAATCTCTTCCTATGTCATACTGTCTGTATAGTTTCAAAAGTCATAGTTTTGAAATATTGAGCTAATATTTCCAAACTCCATTTCTCTTAGGTTCACTGGTTTCTTCTCCTTAATTGTGCTGCTGAACCAAGATGATAACTAGAAAAGGAAATAATGCAGCTATAGGAGTTCATTTTTCCTTCTCCTCTTAGTTTCAGATCGTGTTCCTCTGAGTCTTGGTATCAAATCCCCAGAGAAGAGCCCTGAGAGGCTGCCTGTAAAGAACAATCCCACCTATGGCCTCCTAAAGCTGCTGTTCTCCATCTGGAAGGAGGACTTTGGGACATCTGTGCCCGTGCAGCTGATCTTCAGCAAGAAGAACATGGGTTATCTTGCAGAAGCCAAGCAGCCAGAGGTAAAGCTCATTCTGATGTGTGGGGCAGGCTGGGATTTGTGTAGGAATTCTGCCAGCCCATAGTGCTCACTGGGGCTCGTGTGACTGAGGCCAGCAGGGTTTGGCCAGCGGGTTGGCCTTGTTTCTGTGGGGCAGTGAAAGAGAGGGATGTGTACAGCTTGTCAGGGGTTGGTGCCTGCCTTGGGGGGCTCTCAGGAAGGCACAGTTTTGGTTAGGAGCCAATGGTAGAATGGCCCATTTGGCCTGGGATATTACAAGGGCTGGACACGTGGCTGTCATTGGTTGCATCCCTGTGCCTTTTATCAGCTTGCATTTCTGCATGTGTGTTGGTGTGACAAGCACTCCAACAAAAGCTGAAAATCACCCTATTTAATTGCAGGCTAAACCCAGCTTGTTTCAGGAATCAAAGAAATAATTTTTCATACTGTTCTTGATCAGGCAGGAGTTAAATTCTTGGTGTGTTTATAGATGGAGAATTTATAATACCATATACTTATTTTATGGCAGAAGAAAATCAATGTAAGAACTGAAGGAATTGTGTTCATTCATTCTGGACATTGCTCTTGCCCTCATTGTCACACACAGATAGATAACGTGCTTGCTGCTTTTTCCCATGTTCTGATGCAAAAAGAAAAGTGTGAATTATACATGGATAAAGAAATAAGCACACAATCCATTTCTTTTTGAGTTGTTGGTATTTTCTTCTCTTGTGCAGTGGGATTTGTTCCTTTTCCTGCTTCATGGTCTTATAGAACATGAACTAATGAGAACTAGTGAAATCCAGAGTTGCCTGCATATCCTTGAACAGCTCCCTTGGCCCTCAGTAAGTATTAGATATGCACAGACAATAAATAAAATAAAAAGTAAAGCTATGTAAACAGAATATCCTTGTATTTCTATTTAATATGGCTAAGGCCCATAACCTTCCCATCTGTTGTTCCTGCTTAATGCCAAGGAAGGACTGGTTTCCAACAAGCTTGTCTCTGTTGCTAGTGTTTGGCTGAAAGCTGTACTTGTGTGAATCCGCCATTGCCCATGCAGTGGAAGCATTTCCAGAATTGTAAACCAGTTTGGAGACCAGCTGGCTCAGTTAACCAGTTCTCAGTTCTAGCCTGAGTGTGCTTGCTGCTTTCCAGCTGAGAAAAATGTGTTGGGGAGTGTCTTAACTGATCAGTCTTGCACTTATATCCCTGTGCCTCCTACCACCAGAGTGTGAGAGCAGTTGGAATGTTCTAGAGGAACCTCACTATTCTGGCCACGATCAAAATGTAGGAATCAACCCAAATGCCTTGCTAAAAATGGACAGTATTCCAAGGCTGAGCACTTGCAGGTTGGAGCAGTTTTAACCATTTAAATTGTGGCAGTGATCCTGTCTGAGAAGGGGTGTGAGCATCAGAGGGGAGACTGGGAATGTCTGCAGGCATTCATCTTTGCAGTCAATTCTGTAGTTCCTCTAGGTTTTTTGCACTGGAAAACCATCAACATGTTTAACCTTGTTAAACATAAATTTCTCTTTATGGGAAAATTAAGTCAGTCTCTTTTGTTTCCATTACTAAGGGTTCTCTGGTTTCTGTCTGTTTGTTGCAGGATTTTGTAAAAGACCTGAAAAGGCTGTCCCGCGTATTTGTGTCAGAACATCAGATGGAGGAGCACAGGACTAACCCTTGTGAACTGACCAGACAATCTCTAGCTACTATGGCCACACAAAGTTAGCAGAGGTGGACTCTGCGGACAAAAATTACTAGTGAAGATGCACATGGAATTGTCAGTGTTGCTGAAAGGATTGGGAGCTCTTTGCTGGGAGCATACTGAAGCTAAGTGGCCACTTTGTGCAAAACCTGCATTGGGCTTTCTGTCATGGACGTTTTGCCATGGTGACTCTGCTGAAGGATTCACATCAGCAAATGGATCTCCCAGTCAAAAGTCTTTTAAGCACCTTGATTGCATCTCAGAGCAGCTGTTCTTTGGACTCAGAGACACTTTTTGTATTTGTGCAGCAACAGCTGTGACCAGACCCAGGAATCAACTCAAGTTACTTTGTGATCACAGAGATGATTTCTTGGTGGCTGTCTCTTAACTCAGTGTGACTTTTCATGCTGTCTTTTAACAAAGCCTCTACAGTCAGAGGAAGAAAGAGGTGAACCTATATGACACAAGAGATGTGCCTATATTTATTTTTCATTGTAAGCTCAGTGTTGAAGGTTTGATTTTAATTTTTTAAGACTGATTTTAAAAGTTAAACCGTATTAGATAAATCCCCTAGACCATTGATGGCATTATTCCTAAAGGATGCTTAAGTGTTTTTCCATCTCTTATTGGAAACAGAACTTGCAATTCCCAGGGTTTTTCATAGAAATAAGGAATAAAATATCTGTTTATATTTTTTACTGAAGACATATTTTTAAGACACTTTTATAGTTGTGAACATGAAATCTGGCTGCTATTCACTGTTTTTTTATAATTTTTCTTGCCTTGAGTTTGGGTTTTATCAGTCAGGAAATGCTGCAGCAAGAGAGCAACAGCCTGGAAAAGCAGATAAAGTGAAGAAGCACTGTGATGTTCTCTGGAGAGTGGGTTTTGAAAGGGGCCCATTTCTTGGAGGACAGTGGGCATTTTCTGCCCTTACAGACAGATGGTCACACCAAGAGTGTGACCTCCTGTTCATTTCCTTCTTCCCAAGTATTTCCTTGAGCTGAGATTTGGGACAGGGACTGCTGGTGAGTAGCAGAATATATTAGGTGCTCATCAGCTGTCTCATGGGATTGCCTCCCCCTGCCCCAAAGCAGTGAGGACATTATTTCCTTTTGTCTAGGAGTGTCCTATTTCTGTAGATTTTTCCAGAAAGCAAGTTCTGTGTTACTTAAGAACAGTCTCTGGACAAGGTGAAGCCCAGAGCTGTTTAGCTTGCTAATTAACTAACCTCTTCCTGTATAAGGTGAGAAAAGGTAACATCTTGGAGTTAGTTTTTGAAACAAAACTACAGACAGGATGATTAGGTAGAATTGTGGCTTCTGTTAAAATATGTGATACAGAAAGAGAAATCACAGAGGCACATTAGTGTCTGACCTATATTGTAATTTTTCTTGTCTTGTTCACTAAGGACTGTATTGAAAGATTTGGCAGGTTCCACCTGCATTCCTCTTTTTAGGGGCTTTCTGAATGAAAAGAGTTCCCAAAAGTAGGCATGCTGCAATACAAATACAAATGGAACAATTCAATACAAATTGAAGAGCAAGTACACCATATCATGCCATACCTGCTCCCTGAGGCTGTGTATTATGTGATGTTTTGCTGCAGATTTCATTTGAAACTGTTGCCATAATAAACATTATTAAATGTCTTGTCTTGTGTTCAAGGTGTCAGTATAGAACCTCTTGGTATTAGGCTGAAGAACAAAATGGGAACCTTGCCACAAAGCATGGAGCAGACAAAGTGCAGCATAGACCTCCTGTCTGGCCTGTTGAACTTCTGCTGAAATAGAAATCTACTTTGCTATGTAAGGGAGGGCAGGGTGGTGAAAGGGGGAGAAACTGGAATCCATCAGAGTTAAAAAAAAAGTGCTCTTGGTTCTGGCATGGATTTTTTTTGGGTGTTATGAAACTGCTTGCATAGCTACTATGCCCACAGCCATCTTCATGAACTCAGCATACTGGAATTATCCTTCTCTTTATTTAAAAGGTGACCAAGCCCCAGGAGCACTTTGCAGCAACCAGAGAACACAGTTGTGCCCTATGGGGCTGGAGACACTTGTGCAGTGGGACCCAGCAGGTAAGAAATGCCCCTGTTTCTGTGTTCTTATGACTTCATGCAGTGATGCTGGTTCTTGGGCATCCACAGCCCCAGGCACATTTGCTGTGTAAAACCAGATGCCCCACTCTGTATCCAAGGCCCAGGGGCAGGGTGCAGCACAGGTTTTCTGCCTGTGGACACCTGGCTGTGGGACCGTGTGTGAGGACACGGCCCTGCAGCTGCCCGGGCTGGCGGCTTTCTCTCGGTGTGAGTCCCTCGGGCACTGTCCCTCTGTTCTGGGCACTGCTGCTGGTGCCAGAGGTGCTGCAGGCAGGAGAGCAGGAGCTCACTGAAAGCCAGCTCTGAGGGTGTGGCCTTTCTTCTGCCAGTCTTTCCTATTGCAAACTCAAAGGTCTCAAAAGAGAATTAGGAAAAATGGTGTTATATTAGCTTCCTTCTGAATGTGCTGCTCTGGGGAGTTGTGTAACGGGACAGGACCCAGGAAGAAGCTTCACTTTTTTTTTTTTTTTTTTTTTTTAATAACCAAACAAAACCCCCTTTGCTTGGAGAAAGCACTGTCACAGAACCCCAATTTAAGCAGTGACCTGCTTCTTGATTCCTGTGGCAAAAGTTCATATTCCATGCTCATTCCTCAGCAGGTAAGTAGGAGACCTACATCTGTTATCACAAACTTGCCTTTGTGTTGATTTTCTATCCAGCATAGTTCCATAGATGGGTATCTTAGCTGGAGCAAAATAAGGTGGGGCACATTTTCTTGTGTAGAAAATACCATTTATTGTGGATATGAAAATAGCAACCTTGATTTAGGAGCAGAGATGCAACCCTAGGTGATACAATATAATTGGTTTGATCATCTGCTGCTCAGCAGTAACTTACAGGAAATTGGTTTTTGCCTGTTGTAGAGAAACAGATTTGATATCTGCTGGGCCTTTGTTTCTTTCTTCCAAACAAACCGATGCCATACATTAGCAAGTACCAAGAAATGTTGTATTTGCAAAAGAAAACATTCATATAAATAGGCTTTTTAGTATCAATTGAAGACTGTATTAAAAAAAAGTTACAATACTGATAAAAATAAAACTTAGCTTTGATAGCATATAAAAACGCTTCAAACCAAGCATATATAAATAACTTAATTTGTAAATGTAGAAAAAAAAATTTAAGTATATATAAAAATAAACATCTGATGCACTGTACAATAAGACACTATCCTTCATAGGCACTGGCATCATTGATCAACAGGAGTCCCCCTAGATGTTTTTCCTACAAAACCTGCTTTATCACTAGTGCCATGTCCAATATAAAAGGGAAAAAAAGCTGAGCAAATCTGTTGTGGGTTGTGTGAAGACCTTCCCTATCTCCTCTGGAAAGCTACAGGAGCAGCACTGGGGAGACAGCCAATATCCCAAGCTGCTGGTTCTGCTCATTTTTCCTGGGGCTTTACTGTTCTGCCTTGTCTGCTCTTCCTTCTGGGTTTCCACTGAAGGGAGGACATTGACACATTACAAATCTGGAAATCTGACATTTTTCTCAGTTGCAGAAAACTGTGACAGCTTACCCATTCTTCCTTGAGGGGCTGTAAGATGTGTGATGCTCAAAGTGAACCATGCTGTGACTCAGGCTTTTAGCAAAAGGCTGCACCTCACCAAAAAAAGAACACTAATATATTGGTGTTAAGATTATAGCCATGACTAGCCAAAGAAGAAACAAAGCAAATTTGTAAGTGAAAACTTTTGTCACCCTCCCTGATCTAGCTAGAGGAGGAAGCCTTGGGCAGGTATGTATCAAAACTGCTATATTTTTAAGTATCAATTCAAAATAGCTATGGTCTTTTCATTTAAAACTCACTATATTAGTAACAGGAAGTAACATAGAAGCTGAGAGCCAAAATTACACCTGTGCAAAAACAGAGTAAAAGTAGATCTTGGCTCTTGAACTCAAAGGTGGGAAGTGCAGCTAACTTCACCATGTGCTGGGAAAACTCATCTTATATTGAAAGTAATGGTGTGAAAGTAGCAGGCACTGGCTGCAGTGGGGTGAATGCTTGAGTACACATTTCTCACTTGACAAATTCAAAGTGCAAGACCTTCTTGACCAATGTGGGCTTTTTGAGCTAAAGAAAGCATAACACAGCAGCTTTTATTGCTTAGATATATCTAAAGTGATTCTTTACTGTTGTGCTGAAGAATTAAATGAAGGTATTTGGATATTTGAGGTGGTTGTGGTTTTGCTTAAATTTAGGAACATGTGAACCAGCTAGGGATTGTGTTGAACAAACATGTAAAGCCTGACAGCAGCATTGTTGGACTAAGTGCCACAGAAGTCCCATGAGGTAATTGAATGGGAAGAGTCTGTATTTGCTACAGTGAGACAGCTGGTCACATTATGAACAAAGTGTGACCAGGCTATATTTTCAGATTCTAATGCATTTGGGTGCAAGTGTAGAAGGGCTGATGGGAAAAGCCATTATGGAAAAGTGTTGGAGCTACTCTTACTTGCAGGACTTAAATTCTAGGAACAAGCTGATTACTGAGTACTAACCTATCTGTGACAGTGTCACTGTGTAGAACAGTTTGGTTTCTTTGTTTCAAAGCACCTGATTCTGCAGTACAGTAAAAATGTGTCCTGAGGTATGATGGTGTCTACTGATGCTGCATAGTGTAGTGGCAATCTGAAACACCTTACACTGGCTGCAAGCAGTCAGAAAATTCATGAAAAATCTATCCAGGGTGTAGGATGACTAGTGCATATTGTGCTGCTTTGACTTCCCTCTTCAAAGGGAAGGGAGCAGGCAGCCAGCTAAGATAAATGATTTAGCGACACAGTCAGGAATTCTGCATTTGGTACTTATCATTAGAAAGTGGCTTTGCAGCTCTGCTTAAGAGCTTGTAAAAGGTCTCAAGCCATACAGATACTGCTTCCAGGCTAAACTTACTTAAAGAAGTTGATCTCTGAAGCTGCTTGGAAACAGGAGTTAAGTAATATGCTGTATGATTCTGGCTATTGTAAAGCAAGGTGTCTTCCTCTGCTCTTTATAGAGCAGTACACCTTTCTTCTCTTCCATGGAGGTTTTCCACTGCTGTTTGCAGGAGAAGATGTTCCCCA